AAAAACTAAGTTATTTTATTTCAACAAATAACAAAAATTACAATGTGTAAGCGAGAAAAAAGGGTTTAAAAATATATTGTAAATTATAGTTTTAAGTAAAAGGATATTTAGTGATCAAATAACACAATTTGCAGTGACCATAAAACACTAAGGTATTTTGTTTTTAGTTTTTGTGTAATAAAATCAGTTGTTAAACACATGAAATAATAATATGAATTTCGGTAGAAGCTATATAATATTAGCGTCATTTGATTCATTCCATAGCGATCTACCCTACAAGAAATAAATATAATGAAATATTTAAGGTAAAAAGTTGCTTGAAAATTTTATGAAATATCGGACTACTGTACTGCGACTTAGAAAATTGCGTTAACGATGTTCTCGAGTAATAATTTATTTTTCAATTTTTTACTGATTTTTTTCCATCATTCCATCATCGTACCCCTTGGCTTGCGGGGGCCCGGGCGATTGCCCGGTCTTCCCGTGCCTAGCGCCAGTACTGATTGCCATTAGTCAAAGGGCACTGGTCACTGGCTAAAATATGACGACGTCCGAGAGTGAGGCGTCTTGTGTGCTTGCAAGAAGTATTGTCGCATTAAAAAGCGTCGGAAATCGTGAGCGGCAATGACTTATGGTTGTTTTATGTAAATCGCGAATGCCAACAGTCGGAACCTCGTCACCAACTTGAAAGAAAAATAGCAAAGCGTGAATTGAGGTACAGTGAGGTTAGGTTTGAGGATTTCTTTTAAATTGTAGTTGTGTAGTTATCAATTTACGGCGTTTACGACTGACAGTGGATCACGAAACTACACTCTTTGCTTCTTATTAAATAAAATAATGCTACGGCGGCCCGCAAGTTGGCAGAACCGTTTATGTGTTTGCCGGAATTTGGCGCGATACTTTGCCGGACCGAGCCAGCTGTCAAAGATTCATAAAGGTCCTGGTCAGTGCTACCCTAAACGTCATAAATAGTATTGCTCAATTTACAGTGTTAGAAAGTGAAGTTCGAAGTAGAATGAACTGATTTAGGCCGTATTTATTTTTTAATTTTTTACGATTCCTTTTCTGTGCTAAAGTTTGATGGTTATGTCTGACATCAAATCAAACATTGCGTTACTTTGTAAATTCCTCAAGATACTTTATGGATGTAACATGAAAAATGAACATTTTCGTTTGGCGAAATTTAACTCCACAAAAGAGGACACAGTATGTGTACACTATTCTTTAAAAAAATGATTTAAGGATTAATATCACAGTTAATTGAATTTGTCATGATACATTGCTTCTAGGTGAGCCAATTTTGGCAGTTACTCTTCAGAATATGTCATGATGAATTCAAAGTAAACATTTTTTATGGAGGTATGTTCACAGGAGTATATTGTTTGCAACGTAATTACGTGAGGATTGATTGAATGATTGGAGAAAAGTGTATTCATTTTGCATTGTTTTTTATTTAGAAAACATTGTCAATTTTGTTAAACTGAACCTGGCACTATTGAAGTATGATAGCCTTCAATTCTATTCCTTGCCCACTGACATGTCTTCTGGTAGTAGAGAGTTGCTTCTAGCATTTGCCTGGCTTTTAGCATCACAAGATATTCTTGAAAGGGCAACTCACAGAAAAATTGTGAATTCTAATGCAAGTAGAGAATATGCCCATTTGGATTTTTGTGAGGTATGTTCATAATCCTCTTTTCATGCTTGTATTGATCCATTTGTTGTATTCATATATTGTAAATAATTGGAAAACCTATTGGGGCAATTCACAATAATGTGAAACCAGGATTGATGTTATTTAAATTTTTACATTTATTCAAATAAAATTTTCATTTCAAAAATTACAATTGACAATGAAACCCAACCAATCAGAAGAATCAAACCATATAATTTTTTTCTATCTTCATCGCAAGGAATAAGCTTGAACAAATGTGTAGATACAGATATACAATATGTAAATATTAATCCTAACAGTAAATATTAATATTTTTAGAAACAGGAAAATATAAGCAATAAAAATAAAAAGTTACCTGTACTGTTTTAGAATGCTTTTGTGTACTGTACTAAGTTCACTAATGACACTTAAATGTATTCTTCAAGTTATTTTTCAGAATTTTAATCATTTCAGAAGTTGAACTTTTTTGGTAATTTTTGTGAGATTTTAAAATTTTACTTTATCAAAATCCATTTTCAGGACCAATTTTATTCTGTGATGGGTTAAAGAAGTATGTGCTTTAGGATGGCAGCATTGAATTTTGTAAACGAAATTAGAGCTATCTAATCTCTCTCTAATGAAACAAACTTTACGTCATTACAATTATCCACTTTCCTTCATCAGTAAATACACAAATATTAGAAACAGATATTACAGAATATACATAACAAACGTTTTGTATCTTTTCTCTTAGTCAAATCTATTAATGACAAAATTAGACAATTATTCAAGAAATATATACGATCGCTCCCAATATTTTACAATAATAATGAAACAAGGTTATTTTATGAACAAGAAAACCAAACAAAACCACTAGTTAGCTCTATTTTGTTTCCAAAATTCAATGCTGTAATTGTAATAAAGTATGCATAGGTGAGACCAAATAAAACTTACAAAACACATCTCAACATATGAATAAAGTAAAAATCAATATAATATTAATCCTGGTTTCACTTCAACGTGAATTTCTACAAGACGTCTTCCAATTATTCAGATCATCATCATTATTATTGGTATTGGTATTTGTAGTATTAACATTAATATCATCATTATCATTGTTACCTAATTCAAAATTATGTTTCTCCCTTCGAAAATTGGTAGATAAGCACAAATGAGACTGACTTAAATATAAATATCAAAACCTTACAAAGTGCTTGCGATTGTCTTCTTTGGTATGCTGGTAAGATAAGTCAAAATTTAAGGGCAATTGATGAACTTGGAAAGGAATGGATGCATATTACAACCAAGGTAATGTAGCAATACTTTTTTGTAGTTGTTTGTTTTTTCCATTAAATAGAAGCATTATAATATTAAATTAATTTATTGTGTGTTAGATTCATAGTGAAACTCAGAATGCATGTGGTTTGCCACACTTATCCACAGGAGATGCAAAATTAATTTATGATACCAAAGATTCTTCGAATGGATATGAACATCTGTTTAATTGCACTCTACTCTTAGAGACCCGCAGTAGCTGGTCAAAGAAATGTTCTACGTTCTGGGAATGGATGGTGAGTTTAATGTTGCAGATATGTTGCGTAGTGGTTAGAATGACTTTCCTCTCAGTGGGTGATGTTTCAAGCCTGAAATAACTATCTGATACCCTCTAAAAATCTCTCCTTAAAAAATATAAACTGTCAATAAAAGTGAAGTGAAACAAACAAAAGGTGATTAGACGCCACTTCAGGCTAGGCAGTTTTCACCTACATATGGTACTGTAAGCATTAGGCAATATTTCTTTGTAGTTTGGGTGTAGAGTATGTGCGAAAGAATTAATGTTGTTTTATCATTTTAGGAGACTGTAGTTGCAGAGAGAGATAAAGAAGTTTCACAAGCATTTGGTATTGAAGCAAGGTGCTTAATACTACGTTTTATCAAGGTTCTAAAAAGAATTATACAAGCTGTAATGTTTGAGAGGAAATCAGAAGTGTCACCTGGGACTGCTAAACCTTCCACTTCTGAAGAAGCATGTGTTGAAGATGAAGAAACTTTCCTTGGAGTTCCCCGTTTTATTTTACATTCAGGAAATAATGAAACAGACATGGCTAAATTGTTATCAGATCTAACTGATCAAGAAACACATCTCAAGACGGAATATTCTCTTAATATAGAGGATGTGAAAAATTTTCTTGGGCATTTGTCAAAGAAATTGAATGGAGTTACTTTTCTGAATATTTAAACGCATAGACCAATAGTTATAAAAAACAAAATTATTTTCAGTAGAAAACATTTCAAGATCCTGGAATGCTAAATTCAATTAATTCACGTGTTCTGTATCAATTTCCAGATGCAACTCCAAAAAGGCTCAGTATTCTTCAGCTCCTTCCACAGAATCCATGCCAACTTCTTCATAGTCCTTCTCCAAAGCTGCCAGATCTTCACGACCCTCTGAAAACTCTCATTCCTCCATGCCTTCACCAACGTACTAGTTCACGCTTGGCATACATAAGGTCAAATTTGTGGTCAAAACGAGCCCACGCTTCAGCAATTGCAGTGTTTGACAACATGCAAACAGCACGTTGAACCTTTGTCAAGTCACCTCCAGCCACAATTGTAGGCCGCTGGTAGTTAATGCCCACCTTGAATCCAGTAGGACACCAGTCCACTAACTGAATGGTCCTCTTAGTCTTGATGGTGGCAGTGGCAGCATTCACATCCTTGGGGGCAACATATATATATATATATTACAATTTAAATTATGGTGTTTTAAAAGTGGTACGTGAAGTTACAATATTTTCTAAACGGAATAGTATAGCAGAAAGATTTATAAAAATGTTTGAGTGTTTTGCTTTCAAATTGTAAATAAATTAAAATATGTAAAGTTGCAGTAGTGTTAAATAAGTAATTACTTCTGTAAATTAATTTAAAAAATATTTTTATGTTATTTTTGAAAAAACATTTTCACTAACTGCTTTTGTCTCTTTTCTAAGGTATAAATTAATTTGTGGATGCAGAGACCCTGGAGTGTTTTATGTTTTGTTTGAAAACTGTTAATTTGTCCCACAAAGGGATACAATTTATTTCAGAATGATAACATTTATGATTTTCACACTTTGAAATGCTCAAATCAAAGAAACTGGTAAAGAAAACTTGGATTGATAGACGGAGGAATATTTTTGGCCCATGAAGTGGGTCTACGTTTGGCAGGTTAAGTAAGAGACTACATATTGGAACAGCCAGAGGCTGCATGTGTGTTTATTATTTACCATAACCCCTGTCAGTTAACCCTTTCTGGCTGAGTAAGTGCCCAGGGACTCTTTCTTTCCTCCCATAGTGCAAGAAAATGCCCTTTACACCACAGTGCCCATTTTGCAAATAGCACTATTATGCCAATAATTACAGAGCTTGTATATATACACCCCCCCTTACACATATACATTCCGAAGATATGGAACAGACAACTAGTACTTCTCCCAAAGGGGAAAAAAACTCCTGAAGAGCCGGTGTCTTACCAGCCACTGTGCATGCCTAATACTGCAGGTTAATTTTCTAATCTGTGAGATCTGTAAAAAGTGAGCAGCATTTAGTAGTACTCAATTTGAGAATGCAACATTTAAAGATGTGCCTAAGTAAGAGTTTTATTTTTTATAGTTAGAATGGGTAAACCAAGAAAAAAAAGAGGGATTATACTTTGTGTTTATTTGCCTTTTATTTTCATATCAGATTGTACACTCCTTGCTAAGTGGTGTATTATAGTGTATAACACTTCACAATACATTTTAGAACTGAGAGTACTAAATGGAAATAATTTTTACTTACAAAAAATTACAAGGAGACATTTGTGAATAATTATCGATAATTTACATTTGATTTTCAAAATGATAAATAACACTGTATGTACACTGTCTTGATATAAGAAGTAATTTATACAACAAGGATTGTTATTCAAAAAGGTAACTCAGTTTTCTATCACTCTCTTGCCCCCCCCCCAGGTTTGTTAATGTAAATTTTGTCTTAATAATAACAAAAAATGAAGTTTTCATGGAGGATAAAGAGAATAAGAAATCTTAATTAAATCAAACGGCATCATAGCAAAATTCTCAGTCCATATCTTTCTTATTTCATAACAAAGTTAATGAAATCACATTTCATACTTCTTTCTAATTTCATTTAATGTTTCTTCAGTGGTGCATTTTTCAGCTAATTCTTCTTTCCAATTTTGAAGGTCATTATTCAATTTTTGGAAAAGTTCTCTGCCGATATTTATTTCTGATGAACTTAAAAATTTTAAATTCAAATTAAATCTTTGAGATTTTGATAACGCATCCAGTAAGCCAAACACAAAGGGTATATCAGACTTTGTAATTTCAGTAAATAAATATAATTCGAATATGTCACTTAAAAAACCAACAGGTATATCCACATCAAACAGCTTTTGAATACGTGGAAGCTCAATTTTTTTTAATAACTTTAAACGATCAATCTGTTTTGCATACCTCCACGTTTTAAGGAATTCGCCTATTGTTGTGGGTAACTTCCAGTCATCGGAATCATTTGTATTTTTTTTCAGTAAATTGTTAGGTGTGTTGTCAGTTGGTTTTTTCATTCCTGCAACGGTGTTCCATATAACATATCTACCAGATGAGTCTTGAACTTTGTCTGTTTTGTCCAGTGGTTTGAGATGAGCAGCCATTACAATTTGTCTAAATTCTTCATAAGAGGCCACCTTTTGTTCAACTGCCCTGAATTTAGCATCATTTTGTTGCCAGTATCTTTCTTCTGCTTGTATTCGACCATGTAGCTCTTTTTCCAAAGAACAAAAATCTATTGGTGAATCGTCCATTTTTTAATATTATTATTTTTTTTTTTTTCAGTAAATGAAATTATTCACACGATCTTCATAAATATTTAACATCTATAACTGTTCATATCCCTGAAACATTTGGAATTATTGTAAACACAAGAATTTCTTTTCGGAAAGACATACGATTTCAAGCAATAAAACGAGCGTTACTTTAAGAAATAAGAGAATAGGAAACGTTTTACAACACTTCGGCTGGAGACAAATATAAATTGTTTGTTCGATGTCTGACGCTCCGCTCCGTTTCATAGGAAACGCGCAGGGCCGGTTCACTCAATGTTAAAATGCGGGGGACTGAGTTTGTTTCCTCAGTCACTTGCCGGGTGCAGATAGCGCAGCTGTTGCGGTTTGGCGCGCATTTTCAAAGTGGTGCGTGTAGGGAATACCCAAGAGTATTATCTGCTTTTCTTTTGATTCAGATTAACTTGATTCAAATAACACTTTTAAATATTGTATTAAATGTTTTTACTTAAAACCAAAATTGTAAAGTGATGTATTTATCCTTAATTACTTTAAAAGCAGAAAAAAGTGAAACATAGTTTTAAATTTATCATTACATTATTGTTTGTTTGTTTTAATTTTTTTTAAGATACTATACATTTGAGGGGTCTGGTGCAATACCGCCCTAATCCTAAAAATCTTTAAATATGAGTACTTATTGTTTCATGCTCTTAAAACACTTCTCATGTGTTCACATCATTGTGGCACCACCTACTAGCATGGTTCAGAAAAAGACATTCTTCGTCCAAAAAAAAATTTACCATTCTTTTCTGTAAGACTACCTGAATCAAAAAAAAACTTTTACTGTTGAAAACAACTGATTTCATCAAAAAACTTACAATATTAGACAGTTTTTGAAATATTATATTCTATTTAATATTGTCCTGTTCCTTCCCACTTATTTGGTATTTTATCAATATACACAAGGGAAAAGGTTAATATTATTAAAATTAGTAAGATTAAATAGCGTTTTTATTAGTTTTAACAATATTAATTTGATTCTTTAAGTGAGTATCAATAAAATTCCATTTTTATTAATGCTCATCTTCTTTAAGATGTTATACTTTCTGTGTCGTTAGCAAACATTTTACTCTAAATCTAGAATTACAAAAACGCTTGAATATTTAACACATTTTTCTTGAAACTAGCTTGGTGTGCATATTTTTCCTAAATTTGCTTTTATCTACAATGAAGTGCTGGGTAAGAACTATTATATCATCAAGTCCATTAGTAAATAACTACTACAAATTGTTTATTTCATAAGCATACTCATTTTAATGTATATTACACTGTATTTTTTTTTCTTGACATTGTTCAATTATGTGAAAAAGTTTATAAGAAATGTGATATTCTTTGTATAAACTGTGTAATTGGTTTTTAAGTTTTTATCTGTATAACTTCTTTTTTCAAATATTACAAATAATTAATATTAACTTAAATCATTGATTTAAATCATGTTTGAAATCATACCTGCCTTAATTTTTGGTGACATTTTTTAACCGAAAATAGAATTGTAATTTTGATACAATATCAATCATTGGTTCAGTGACTATTGGGGTAAGTCTTTGAAAACCAAGGAAAATGAAACAAATGTATAAATTACATTTATTCTTTGGCAAATCGATTCACCTTGTAGTTAGTACTAACATAGTAAATATGCTTAGATTTCTGAGATTAAAGAGGGAATTTGCATTTTTTACAAAAATAAAGCGTGATTGCCGCCGGAACGTTCCGACGCTTCCCGATGTATCCTCGTCTGCGGCAAGTTCTCGATTAGGAATAGAGTTCATGTGAATTTCGATTTTTATCATGAACACGGCTATACTAGAATTTATTTAACTATGCACATGACGTACATCAGCTGTACACGGTTTCATCCAATCGACAACTTAAAAGCTCCCATTGTGACGTCGCTGTAGCGACATATAAGCTTCCGATTGGATGAAACAATAACAACTGATTTAAGTCAAGTGCACGATTACATAAATCGTACTCTTAAAAACCGTATTTCTACCATGAAACACCACCTGAGATATGGGTAAACTAGTCCAGCGCATTGATTTTGCTCGTCCTGAGCATCACCAGTTTGCGTCATAAACACGTTACACGTTACGCGAGGCCAGACGCTGGCCGCGATGTACGGAGAGCGAGAAGTATATCTGGGTTATTTTAGTAAATAAAAATAATTATACTACGTCACTTAAAAAGCCAATAAGTATATCCGGTGCTTGATTAATACATTTTTAGGTCTCAGAACGCGCCGTAAATTAATTATTAATTTTATAGAAATAGTTATATATTTATAATATACTTAAATAATTATTATTCCGGTACCGCAACGCCATTCCGTCGCGTTCCGCCAGAAATCAAGCCCTGGGTATATCCACATCAAACAGCTTTTGAATGCATCGGAATGCGGAGATACGTTTTGAAAGTGGCTTTAAGTGACAATTTTCTACGAAAAAAACACGATAAAGTGTAATTGAAATGAAAGATGGATTAAAAAAAAATCTTCATAAATCTGTGTCAGTGACTTGTAATAAGGTTACTATTTTGGTGTCTGGCTGAATTTAAATTTCCCGCTAATATTGTGACGCAATCCCTTGCCTGAAGTTACTTTGCTGAAGTCTGATACGAATCGCTTTAGCTCACTATTTCTTTCCAATATAGCTAGAGATACGTGAATAGTACTCTTTGAACCATGATTTCCTCTATGCTTTAAACCATGAAGACTACTGTAAGACGGAGACTCATCACGGGTGGGGTATGTGTATGAAAAGCGTCGGTATCGGTCAACCTTGAACTTTAGCGACATCACTCGACCATTGGGAGAATCATTTAAGGCTTTTTTAGGACAATGGTCACCAACCTACAAGTGCCAAATTAATGTCATGTATACCATCCTCTCTGGGCTATACTTATGTTCACACACAATGGTGTTAGTCAAAACAAGCGTTGTTATTGGCCGAGTGGAGTTCTTTCAATCACCTCGTGATGTCGCTGAAGATAAGTTAAACCGATTTGCTGCCGACCATGAAGACTTCTGACGTTTTTCTTCCATACTTTGAAGACAGCCGTGAACATTTTAGACAAGTGCATTCATTATTCTAAAATTACCGTGGAAGGGTATTAATATGAACACGGACGAATAGTTGTTCTCATTCTCTCTGCTTGTTCCATGGTATGGAAGCTGCTCGGGAGATGGCGTAGCTGTAGCTTTTGAAATTGTGACTCTTTGACTTTTGGTTCCTATAACCTCGTGTTGTGCTTTTGTGTTCGGCGGGTCGCGATCAGGTGAAGTATTGTTGTACTTTTGTACTATAAATTGCACGAGATATTGCAATTTAATATCGAAGATATTGATCCAAAGCCTTGCTTCAAATTCACTCTCAGTAAGATTTTGTATTTTATCAAAAAGTGAAGTTCGTAAATGTTTTGAATGAAATTTGCAAAGCGTTCTCTTGTGTCACATATGTGTGGTTAACTTTCGTATGTTGAAGTTAGTAGAGATCAGGTAATTTGTTGTTTAGGAAGGCAGAGGTATTCTGAGCAATCATGAGCCGATTTTTTCAACAAGGGTCCGATTCAGAGACCGAAACTTCATCTGAGGAAGATGTACCCCAGCGAGCACCCGTCGCTGCTTTTACGGTATTTAAACTGCAGAATATTAGGTTGATATCAGCGTGGTATTTTATTGTGTTTCATGACATTTCAATCGTTTTTCAGTTCAGCGACGAAGAAGAAGATACCAAAAGAGTTGTACGTTCTGCAAAAGAGAAGAGATATGAAGAATTGCATAACCTTATCAAACAGATCAGGAATTATCGAAAAATCAAAGACATGAGTAGTATGCTTTCAAGTAAGTATTGTATTTCATTCTATTAAATGTAAGCGAATGATCGTGTCAGCAAAAACCTATGGTTAATTTAGTTAACTGACAGAGCCCGTTAAAGGAATTTGAAGATAATGTAATTGAAATCTTCCGTAAAAATGTGTGTAGTATACCTGATTTTGTTTATTTTATATACCCTTTTCCACTGATATTTGTAACTTCCAAATTTAAACAGTAATTGTATAATTTTGTGAATGTATTAATTCTACAGCAAAAAGAAATAGTATGCTTTTATTTTCCTTCACTTTGAATAAATATCAAAAGTACCAATAAAATGAGATGTTTGGTACACAATAGGTGTAACATTGCCAAGTATTGTTTTGACTCAAACCATTTTCATTGCGGGATGAAAGTCATTAATTAATTATTTAATACTTTTCATAGGTTTGCAATCTTTATTTCATGTTCTTAAGTATCTGTCGGTAATTATATATATTCAGCTGGTTTGATTAAGTTACTAATGCCATCGGTTTCTGATTGGAATTGTAATGGTCATAATGAGGATCTTTTGAATTTTGATTGGAGCAATGTTATTTTACAGGTTTTGAGGATTTAATGAGAGCTTATACTAAAGCAATTCCAGTAATTAACAAAGAAGAAAATGGAGTTACTCCAAGATTTTACGTGCGTTGCTTGGTTGAAGTTGAAGACTTCATTAATGAAATGTGGGAAGATAGAGAAGGAAGGTAGGAAGGAATTATAATTCAAAAGTTTGGTTTTCTAAAATTAACTGTATTGCTTTTATCTTTTTAAGTCATTAAAATGTTGACAGACGAAGAATGTTGTGTCGGTTAAAGTAGAGAACATAGTTCACCTTTAGAGATGTGAATGTGAGAAAAGGAGCAGAATGGGTGATTCTCAATGCCCTTCCTCTAAATTTACAAAAAAAGAAGGGAAGGAAAAAAAGAAGAAAAAAAAAAAAACCTTGAAAGAAATGATTAAAACTTACTGAAGTGTGATTTCTTCAAATTTTATTGAAGGTGGAGATGATCCCAAGGAGATGCAAGAACCTCTTGTATTTATTTTGCTTCTTGCAAACCATGACTCCTAATCAGAATTTATGTTTATAGGAGTAGCCCCTTTCTGATTACATTTCATATGAAATCATTGCACAATCCTTTCACTTAGCCACCAATATGACACTTACATTGGGAATACACAAACCTGTCATAATCAGTCCATTGTTTTTAATCTATTTAATCACAGTTACACACTTCTTTAAAGGCGTAACATAAAATAAAGAAGAAAAAAAAGAAAGGTTTCATTTCACCCGGAGCACAAACATTTTTGGCTCTAAAAAACATAAATTGCAAAGAATCAGTAAAATGAAAAGTAACTGTTTGACAGTTAACTAAACAGTTTGACAGTTGGTTTGCATTTTGCCATGAGGAAGGTCGCAGAATGGCTGCCGAAACATTGGCTCCTGTGCCTAGGACAGAGTCTCCCGGGCAGCCAAGTAGCTGTAGTTTGACGATTTCACAACTTTAAAGAAAGTGAAATGATGTAATGAATCATAAAGCCAGCCTCACTGGTAAATCGTCCCATCTCTTTCTTATTATTATCATCATTATGTACTAAATAACGACTATTGCTACTAACACTACTACTGCCCATTGAAAATTTACCCACAGAATCTCCTAACTCTTCCACCATAGAATGCCCTTCCTCTTGAGTGACACAAACTGCCTGTTTAAATTATTTCTTAAGTTGTACTGTGTTCTCTACTTCAACCATTGTCTGTAACAACTTCTCTTAATTTTATGATGTACTAATATTTATTTTGTTTTGTAGGAAAAATATGTCAAAAAATAGTTCGAAATCTTTGACATCATTGCGCCAAAAATTGAGGAAATACAATAAAGATTTTGAAGATGATTTGGCAAAATTCCGTGAGAACCCAGACCAAGGGGATGAAGAGGAGGAGGAAGAGAAAGGTATGCTTTGTCTCTTCATTGAATTGGTAACTGTTCAGTGGATCAAAGTGTTTTTTCTGAATATTGTAGATTATAGCTTTAAGAAACCAATTAGTCAAAATTTTGAATATTAGTTAATGATTTGAAGTTGTATGTGTAATGTGATCTGTAATAATATGTTGATCTCATTATTGTATTTTTAAAACTTTGTCATCTGTCACATTGTTTTTGAATGAATTGTTGAGTTATGGAATATTTATTTTAAATATGTTAAATTTAAAAATTCCACTGGATGACAAAAATTGCATTTTCTGTGTAGATTTTACCATTCACATAGAACCTAGAGAGAAACTATTAATGGGAATGTTATATGCTGTATTTACCCCAAAAGTAAAAAAACTTAATTATCCCTAAATAACTCACTTGAAAAATATATGTGGTCATCTTATGTTTGCAGATAAAATCTAGTCTATTAGGATTTGCATTGCCTTTCCCTATCTTGGAACTTGTAAATGTTGAAGCAACAATAAGCTGCAAAAAGGATAAAAAATACCTCACATATCTTTAATACCCAGTTATATTCATGGATGTATACTCTTCATCCACCATGAATTTGCAATGCGATTCAGACTGATATTTTTGAATGGGCTGATGAAATGAGAATAGCATTATATAAAATGAAATGCAATGTGAAAATGAGTAAAAATCACTGCTGAGTTGTTTTTACACAATGTGATCAATGACAAAACATGAACTATTGGTTTGATGCCTAGCAAGTGTGAATCTGCATTTTGCAAGAGATGGGAAGGAAAAAATTCACATTGATAGAAGTACACATTCTACAGTCAACCACAAAAAAGGATGATACAAAATATGTTTTGAACAAAAACTTCCCAAACTTGAAAACTTACAACTATCTCCCACATAATCCTTTAAATTGAGGAACAGACAAGTTCACAACTTGACAACACAAATTAAATTCAAATTTCAAATATATTGTATTAAAGAATGTGAAAGAATTGTTACATAATCAGATGCCATGAACAAGAGAGGGGCAAGAAGAAAATCTAATAACTCAGAAAGGAATGTTTCTGAGTAGTGTCATATGAAAGAGTAAGAAAGCAAATTAAAGGTGGAAAACGTTGAATGGCCTAAAAAGTCAGAATAACATGGTGGGGGAGGAGGATCAAAAAGAAAAATGTGAAGAAGGTAGTGGCAAAAAATGTAGATATGATGAATTTAAGGAGCAAGAAAATGATAGCGAATGTGTAACATTCTCATTAATTAGACAATAAGCAATTTTATTTTGACTAAATAACAAGAATTGAATAAAAATTTTAAAGAAGGAGGCCCCATGAAAAATATGATCAATATATAATTGGGTAAATTTAGTAATTCAAGTATAGTTTTCCTTTTTGTGCTGGAGATTTTCTGTAATGATTATTATGCCAATTTAAAGATGTTTTATGCAATAATATTGAACCTTTCTTGCCATTTCATGTGTCACCTTTGTTTTGTGTTGTATATTTGTTACATAGGTGACAATATAAATTACGAATAAGAGAATTTTCTCAGAGGTTTGTATCTGCATGTGAACCTGTCCCTTTGATCATTGAATTGTATGACTTAATTTTTTTACATCTGTTATATATACAAATACAAATAGAGGAATAATGATTTTAAAACTAAAGCTGCAAAAAGCTTGAAGATAAAGAGAAGATGGAATGCAAAAATACTTTTAAAAAATTCTTCCAAATTTAAAACCAAATTCATTGATTATTTTTATTTTCTTGCATACTTCCTCATAGTATAGAAAAAATGATGTAATTTTTCCCCAGAAACTTGTTTTGTTGCTCCCTCATATCGAAAAAGTAGATTATTCTTCCTCTTCTATGTAGTAGATAACTTCAACTAATTGGTTGTGTAGTCTGAATCCTCTTTTTGTGGGTCATCGAGACTGAAAAATGGTTTTAGGGTCTGTCTGTAAACCATGTCAAGTAAATTTGTATTGTTTTGAATACCCCCTCTCCCTCCTGTAAAACAGTTGTAACACATGCTTGACTCCACTCCCCCCTCCTCACAAAATAATTACATAATGTTTGCGACAACACCCCCAACCACCATTTACAAGTCAAAATAAATTATGTTACAGTAAAAACAATTTGTCTTGATTTCATGTGTTTTATTTTAAAATGTATGATAACTAAAGTCAGAATTAATTGGTGCTCAATCAGGTTCCTGTTACAGTTTGCATTAAATGCATGCTGAAACTACGTGCCTGATTGCGAATACCATCAAAGAGACTTTTTGCAGGTTCAAGTATTATTATTACGTAAAAATACATTACAAATTAATCAAGAAAGTATGTATTGTTGTAGCTAGTCTAGTTAGTTTTTTGTTATTTAAAAATTGCCTTTTTTTAGCACGATATTAGTGAATTCAGTCTATTTATTCGGATGGTTCCTCCAACATATTTCTTTATTTTATCAGTTTAGAAGTACAAGCCTTTTTTCCAGCATGTACTTAATGTATAAAATTTCACTGTATGTCAAGATAGATGTTTTACATCGTTATATAAAAGAAGAAAGTGAGCTTTGTTCACAGTTTTGTTGACCATATAGTTTTGTATCTTCTTCAGTAAACTGATGAAAGCTTTGAAATTGTTTCAGAGGCTCAACCAGATTCAGATGATGACGATGACGAGGAAGAAGATCCAAAAATGGCATTCAGAAAGGATGGATCTGAATCCAGTGCAGGTGCATCCAAATTTGCAAAGGTAAGTTTATTTTCTGCTGTCTTTTTGAATCAATAGATTCATCTTCAGATATTTGAATTATTATTTTAAATACCTTTATTTGTCAAAGTAATAATTTATAATAGTTAAATTTTAAAGACAGAAAAGGAGAGGAATATGAAGGGCAAAAAATTGTCTGCTGGGTTACGCTAGTAGGAACATAAAGGAAATCACAGGATAAACTCAAGCAAAAATTCTGATCACTACTTTTATGATTGAATATTTTTTCTGCATGATTGTGTGGGAAAGAACTCTGCATATGCCAAGTACCATGAACAAATATTTTAATTTTGGTTAAAGTATAAAATCGTGGGCACCCTTCAAAAATACTCATTTGCAGAAGAGTCGAGAAGGAGGGGGTACAGGGGGAGATATGGGAAGAGTGCTGGTCTTTTGATATCATGAAATTACCAAATGCTTTGGATTTAGTAAAATTAACATATTGTGCACTGGGATCTGTAAGATGTCTTGAATATTCTATCGTGTGGTTGCACACCACACTTCTGGAATATCTACAAAATGGCTTATATTTCACATGCTTCCTACATTCAATTTCAGTAAAGTTTTTAGGCAAAAGTATTTTTATGTTGAAGTGATTGCTTTGGTATGGATTTACAAATAAAGGACAAGGTTTGGCCCTTGCAATTAACAGAAAACATTTTAGAGTCTGTGTAATGCATAATTTCCAAATCATTTTTATTGATAATACTTTTAGGAAACCTTACTCCATAAATCTGTAGTACGGTAAATATAGATAACTTTTGAGTAGTTTCTGGAACGCACTCTATCACTTTACAAGTCAAATTACAACCATCTCACTATTTCATCACATTTTACTAAATAAATACATGTACAAAAATTTTCATAATCAATGTACAGGGTATTGCAGAAAAAACGCCATATACCTGACCGAAAGCTACTCCTCTTGTGCCTTCTACCGTGGATTATTCATGAACTGCCAGTTTCAATGATTTCCTTAAGCTGTACCATACTTTTCTTCAACATTTATTATTGTTATCATTATTATTTAACATTTGATATTTGAGGGGCAGTAGTTTGAATTAAATTTGCAAAAAGTTATGATAGTTATTTTTAGAAACTGATTGACCCAAATTTATATTAAATTAAATTTAATTTTTTTGCTGTATTTTAACTGTAGCACTGCTAATTATGTAGTGTATGCGTTATGTATGTACACTAAACAGTGAGCATGTTCTTGTATTTTTTAGAAAGCAGTTACTGATGATGATGATGAAAGTGATGACTCTGATTGGGATTCGGATCCTGAGAGTTCATCAGAAAGTAGTGATCCGGAGGATAAGAATCTGACTTTGCGAGAGAAGTTCTTAAAGAGGTAACTTGTGTAACATAACTGTTTATCTCATTTTATAAGAGGAGGAATTCTATGAGTGGGAGAGGAACTCTGTGCTTCTTTTCTCCCGTATTTTGTTACTGTGTAAATTAATTTCACGTAATTAGTTTATTTACTAACAATGATATAGTCAGATGTATCATTCAAAACATGCCCAAAATGTTTGACATGGATAGATTTATTAAAGTTCGCTTTGAGCTAATGCTCGGTGGCAAACATGATAACAATTAGAATTAGAATCACAAAACATTTTCAACATTTACAATTAGGTTTACTATTAGAATTAGGGGTCGATATCGTAGTTCCAATTTATTTCTAGCTAACTCTAAATTCACTTCTAGTTTACATGACACTTCACTACACTACACTACACTACACTACACTACAATACAATACACTGCACTCCCCTTCACTACACTACACTCCCTTCCCCTCCACTACACTGCACGTCACAGTATAAGGGACATGACGATAATAATTATAACAATATAAGTAATAATAATAACTTAAAAATTTCCCCGAAGCTAATGACTGCAAAATTGCATGATTTTGAATGATGCTTTGATGGTTTGCATGATGAATGCAAAATTTTAACTGTGTATTCCACTATTACCTTATTTTGTTTTTGGGTGAGCCATGTAAGATTTTAGAATTACTATGAAGATATATTTAGATACTAATCAGTGAAAATGATATCAGACATATAACAAATGAGGAAAAAGGAAAAAAACGTTGCAGAAAGTTACCTTGCATTGTGAGATGAGCAGGTTTACAAAAAAATCGATGAGTAAACCAGGTGGACTGCAGACTTGCCCTCTTTGAACTGAGGGATATTTTACATCCCACTATGAGTTCAAAAAATGCAGGTAACTGCAGTATCCTTTCAAAAATAGATTGATAAAAATGATAACTCCTGAAACTTCTACTAGATAGCACTTTCGGTTTTGGTGCTGCGTTCTGAAATTCACATAATGTAGTTCAAACACTGCCAACATGCTCAGCAGAGGGCTAATCAGAATAATTTATGTTGTTTGTAATAAGTGTGATTTTCTAGACGACTTATCCTGAATTTAGTGTTCAGTGTTGTGCAGATGATTAGATAATGTTATAGATATGATTCTCTTATGAACTAAAAATGCTATATCACACCAGAAGAGTTCAGAGATATGAAATATTTAATGTTTTTATTTTCAGAACTACTGACAAGGAGGAAGAGGAGAAAAAAGAGAAGAAAGATAAAAAAGACAGGAGAGACAAGGAAAAGAAGCAGAGGAAAGATGATGAAGAGGGTGAATGGGAAACTGTTAGAGGGAGTGGAGCAATACCATCAGTAAGTTTTAAAAGGTTGGAGGTATACATTTTTGTGTGAAAAGAATGTATGTAACATTCTGTGTTGCTTTCAGGAAAAGCCTAAAATGTTTGCTAAAGATGCAGAAATTGATTTAAATCTGGTGGTAAAGAAACTGAATGAGATTGTTGCTGCTCGAGGCAAAAAGCGCACTGATCGCCGTGAGCAAATCAAACTTTTACATGAGCTTTGGAATGTAGCAGATGCTCACAATTTAGGACCAGCTATAGCTATTAAAATTAAATTTGCTATAGTTTCTTCCATCTTTGACTACAATCCTAAATTCTCTGAAGCGATGAAACCAGAATACTGGGCCAAGTATGTTTAAATATATTATTTTTGAGTTTACTTTTTAATCTGGTGGTTTTTGAAGTATAAAATAATGAAACAGAGTAGATACATAAGTAATGAGGACTGACATGGTATTGATAATCATAAAAGAACAGTAATTTGTGAAGAGTGACTTTTTTTCTAGATTACTTGACAACATTGATGAATGTGTGGAACAGCTTTTGGCCACTCCTGAGATTATGGTTGGAGAGCAAGTTCTGGAAGAAAATGAAATACTGGACAAAGCTCCATATAAAGTTCGAGGTTGTATTTTAACTATTGTTGAACGACTTGATGAAGAATTTATCAAGTTATTGAAGGAATGTGATCCTCATAGTAATGAATATGTTGAAAGGTAATGCATTCCATGATAGGTGTCAGCATCAGTAGCAGTGTATTTCAGTCCAAAGCAGTGTAGTTCTTGGATCATACACTTTGTGGATAAGATGTTTATATATTAAGTATTTTATTGTATTTCAGGATTGAATTATCATTGATCACAGATAATGATGGGTATTAATATAATTCTTTGTGTTAAAATTTTATGCGTTTCATATTTTATTTAATGTATCTATCACTTTCATTCTTAATGAAACATTAGTTTGGGTTCTCTGAGTATTTATTGGGTATTTAACTTCTGGTATCATGCTGCTGTATCCTGAGTGTTGAATTATGGATGTTTTGCTTCATGCAGATTGAAGGATGAGAAGAGAGTTTCGCACATAATTGATAAAGTTCAAGAATATTTGGAACGACAAGGAGTTTCTTCTGAATTATGTCGTATTTATCTTCGGAAAATTGAACATGTTTATTATAAATTTGATCCAGAAGTTCTGAAGCAGAAAGAGGTAAGTATTTTTAATTTCTGATAGCTTTTAAATTCATAAACTAATTAAGAATATTCCGTTTTTCTTATAAAGTGCAACTATTAAATCCAAATTCATCCAGTAATGATTTTGAAACTATTGTCAAGAATCTCAATGTCTAATTATAGTTTAAAATAAAATTAGAAAATAGAAAAATGGTAAAATTCATTGGAAAGTGTAACTGGTAAGAAAATACTTTTAATTGTATAATTAATTACAGAATAACTCTCTACATTTATTTATAGAATTAACATTTAATGAAAAATGAAAGGGTGTCTTGGGCCTTATACTTCAACATACATTAATTCTAGAGTTTTCAAAGTTTTTTCTTGAACACAAAGATTCTGTTGCTGAATTGCATGATCAAATAAACACATGAACATTTTTAAAACTACATAAAAATTGAAGATGCTACTGTAACTATGTACAGTAAAACTTCACTTGAATGTTCTTCAGGGGACTGAAGGGAAAAAATGTATAAATGAGAAAAACGCATAACTGAAATTTAATATTGTGACCTAAACAAAAACTCTACAAATATTTTTACATTGGCATGCTCTACTCGTGTACCTGCTTGTAGCACTCTTACTAATGTTACTTTTGATCTATTTAGTCAAATAACAGTAAAAACTGTAGGCGTCATATGGGGAAGAAGTTTCATTTGCACATGTTTTCTTGAGCTTCAGAATCTCTTCCCATTACTTTAACTATAAATAGTTGAATAATGAATAAAAGCTTCAAAAGATGCTAAGTTAGCAACTTTCCAAAACTATAAATTTTCATTCCAGCGTTATAGAAAACTTATTTGAAGCAGTAAAAAAAACTGCAATTTTTAAATTTTTATATTCTTTTATTGCTAACATAATAGTAACATACCGCCAGCTCTACTCGTAACTTTAAAGCCTGTGTCACATGAGCATTGTGTTGATGTGCGTCACCTATCAGTGTTGACATCATGTTCATTGATGCCTGCCCACATGATTCAACACATGTCGATGCATGTGCACATGAGTCACTGTAACGTGCATGGTAGTTTAATACGCTTATGTGAAACAACACATGAGCGCTCTTGATGATGTGCATTGTTGCCAACGTGCATCGCCTAGCAGGTGTCATGCATTGAAAGCTAGAAAATGTGTATTATCCTGACTTATGTTGTAGCGTCTTGTTTGAGCGGTGGGTACACTGCACCTACCCAAGAGTGCTCAAGTGTTGTTTAGCATAAGACAATGTTAATGTACGATGCTCAGTATGTGACCTGTGTGACCAGGTATCATCGCAACTGATGACATCTGTGTTAGGTGACTCCTGTCATCACAATGCTTCTATGTTAGAGGCCTAAATACACCTAATTTTTATTGTGCAATGTTGATGAACATTATGCAAAGCTGCTCTGGATGACGCTAGTTCCCATATCCTTTCAACCAGTAGTTTTGTGCAAAATTCTAAAATAAGAGTTGAATACACCTGCATAGCAATAAAAATTAAACCAACAGAATTCTGTTCACAAAATTCTTGGACTCTCTATGATTAACGTATATGTTCTCATGTTTTATATCATTATCATTTGGACATATATATAGACTTAAAGGTACTTTCATTATGAACGTATAAATGTGTAAAACGTATGATCGTAAACACATAACTGATATAATTTTGCATGGAAAGTATAGAAATTTATCTAGGATTTCCAAAATGAAATGTATAAACATGAAAAAGTGTATAAACTGAGTTTCGCGGTATGTGTTTTGAGAAAGGAAATGGTGGTGCTTAATATCTCTGATTGCTTCTACAAGATAATAATTCAAAATAAAAAATTGATTAAGAAAAAAACATTTTGTCACTTGCCAATGGTCATTCCCTAATTGCGGACAGCATTATTACTTCAAATTATCTTGCTATCGTTGGGTCTTGTATTGTGTATTGTTGTAAGTAATGCAGGTTATCAATCCAGTCCTTTTTCCCCTTCCTCTGAAGTACTACAGGGATCTAATTACTCTTTGCCATTGCTCTTGTCCATTACTCTTTGCTATAAGTGTAAATGTTTCAAACTCGGAGGGGCTTGCTTCCTACAAATTGATTGAGGTACATCAATTTTGGAGAAAAGCAGCTGTATGTTTTGGTGCTAGCTTTGCCGGACAGGGACGTTTTGCCATTAATTGATTTTTCAGTATCAAGGTCCCACAAAACATGGATTCTGACTGCACAACATTTTAGGGGAAGTATTCTACTATTTATTGGAACAAGATTGATCTTTTTTGGTTCCAGACCCTGGCAATAAAAGTTTTTCTGCTGAAAACTTTACCATTTTTCAGTGCATGATTACAATATTTTCTTTTATAAGGGCATAAAAATAGAAATTACATTCTGCAATTCATCCACCTATTTGTCTCACCTGCTCTAGTAATTCTGTGTATGTAGATGAGGAGTGCAGTACACGTTATTCGGCATGGAAGGGGATTTTTTCAATTCTTTGATAAAATATATTTGTCTTTGCAAAAATAGAATTGATTTGTTATGTATCTTTCTTCTTAAGTTTTTATTTAAATTAATATTGTATTCTTGTTCTTAACTTAATAATTGCCATAAATAATTACATAACTCATGAAGCATAGTCGTTGGTTAAGGCAGTGGCTTATACGGAATACTCCAAGTCCCACATAAGATATGGTTGTTTTCATCATGTGTGTGGCATGATATCAATTGCACAGCTCCATGCGTCTCGTTATTCACAACTGCCATTCATTCATAATTATCACCCTTTCTGTCTAGAGGTAGAAATGTAAATAGTTGGCATGGGCACAAAACTGGATAAGGGTCTGTCCTTCAGGCTACCTCAGATGGGAGATATTTCCAGGAATGACAGGGTTGCGCAGAGCCAGGGTTAGAAGTGACAAGTAAGGGAATACATTCCTGTTGGAGTGATAAAGACTGCTTGAGAGGAATGCAGGATGAGGGTTGTGTAAACTTTCTCAAGTGAATAATTAGGTAACTCAGCTAGTGTAAAGATTCAGTGTGGGTGGCAGTTACTATTATTTCAAACTGTTAAATTTTCTCTACTAATTTTGATGCATTTTTTGCTTCCTAGGGAGAATTGCCACCTGATACTGTAACAAGTGTTCAAGTGATGGAAAAACTCTGCAAGTTTGTGTACGCCAAAGATGCAACTGACAGATTGCGTACCCGTGCCATTTTATCTCATATCTATCATCATGCTCTACATGACAACTGGTTCCAAGCTAGAGATCTGATACTTATGTCTCACTTACAAGAAGCAATTCAGCATTCGGATCCTCCTACCCAGGTATTCTTATGTACTGTATATTTTTTTTTCTTTCTTGCAAACACACTTCATGCTTTTTTCATTATTCTACCAAGAAAATGGAATATTTGTAGTTACATTTTGCTCAAAATTGATGTGATAGAAAAACATTATTGATTTGTATGGAATCACTTAGATAAATTTAAATAAATCAGACATGTTGATGGTATGAAATGATAAAGATTTAAAGATGGTGAAAACTTCAAAAGCTGCTAAGCAGAATCAGAAAGTCATTGGAAAGGGTGCCTGCATTTCTCTCGAGTCTTTTTGGAGGAATCTTTTACATTAAAACCATTCAGATTTGTGAAGATGTCAGGCTATTAACAACCCAAGGTTCTTGAAGGAAGATTTTACATTGTTATTTTCTTCTATCACTGCAGTATTTTTTACTTTTGTGTTAATAGATCCTGTACAATCGAACAATGGCACACCTGGGTCTCTGTGCCTTCCGACATGCCAACATCAAAGATGCACATAATTGTTTAGTGGATTTGATGATGACTGGTAAAGTCAAGGAATTGTTGGCGCAGGGTTTGTTACCTCAGGTTAGTTTTATTGTTGTTCTCAAAATGCTTTCCCATCAAATTTAATGCTAATATTTTTCTACACAAATAATTATTCTTACAGAGGCAACATGAAAGGAGCAAAGAACAAGAGAAAATTGAAAAACAGCGACAAATGCCATTCCATATGCACATTAATCTTGAATTGTTGGAATGTGTTTATCTAGTTTCAGCCATGCTTATTGAAATTCCTTATATGGCTGGTAAGTTGAAAATGGGGAAATGTGGTATATGGGGTGTAATATGGGGAAATGTTGCATGTGCGTGTGGTGGGTAGCTGTTTTGTTTGATTTACTCATATAATCTCATGTCAAATATGACCTGATTACTGTTATGATAAAACCCTTTGATTCAGTTGTATCTACATTTTCAAATTACAAAATGTACATGTTGCAGCTCATGAGTTTGATGCTCGCAGAAGAATGATTTCCAAGACCTTTTATCAGCAACTCCGCTCAAGTGAGAGACAGTCACTTGTTGGTCCTCCTGAATCAATGAGGGAACACATAGTTGCTGCATCTAAAGCCATGAGAAATGGAAATTGGTCTGCTTGTAAAAATTTTGTTATTAATCCCAAAATGAATGCAAAGGTGAAGTAAAATGAAGCCAAAATTATTCTATCAAGTTTTTCTTTTCTTTTATGCAATAATTAAGGGCGATCTGCTGTCTGTTATTTTTAGTTCATTTCTCTCTTTGCAGGTGTGGGATTTGTTTCATCAAGCTGAAAAAGTTCAAGAAATGTTGAGTCGATTAATTCAAGAGGAGGCTTTACGCACCTATCTTTTCACTTATTCACATGTGTATGATTCAATTTCAATGGCTACTCTTGCTGAAATGTTTGAATTGAGCAGGCCTATAGTTCATTCCATAATTAGTAAAATGATTATTAATGAAGAATTGAAGGTATTCCTTTTGAAATTATCAACAATGCATAATTGTTGACAGAAAAATCTTGTTATAACATGTGATAATCTTGTTTGTGTTTATAGGCATCACTTGATGATCCAACTCAAACTGTTGTTATGCATCGTAGTGAACCTAGTCGTTTACAGTCACTTGCATTACAGCTCACTGATAAAGTACATAATTTTGTTGATTCCAATGAGAGAATATTCGAAATGAAACAAGGTATGTCAAGAATGTATAAAAAATTATATATGTATATATTGAGAATGGAAAAGAGAAATTGATTATTATTGATTCTTTGTGAAGACAGTTGATTGCAAAATTCGTGTTCTTTTCAAGGTAATTTCTTCAACCGTGGAGGTGGTGGTCAGGGCTTCCGTGGCCGTGAGAACTTTGGACGACAGGGACAAGATTGGGGAAGACGTCGAGAGCGAGGAGAAAGAGCCTACTGATAACATAGTCCCAGTTATTTTAATTTTGCTTCTTTGGATGTTAAATCAAGAGAACCATAATAGAAATTTTCTATGTCCATTATATCATGAATTATATGTACATTAAAATTGTGTATAATTTCTATGACAATGTTAAAAGGTAAATGGTCAATCTTAAACACACAATTTGGAATTATGTTTTGAAATGTTCTGTGAATTAGCCAAAATATACTACCATCTTGAATTATGGATCTTTGAATTGTTTCCAATATAATTCTAATGAATTTTCCTGTTTTTGTCTCTTAGACTTTTTAGTGTTAAACAACAAGTGATTGTTGATCTTCCTCATATATTTTACTATCTCGCCACAGCTTACACAGTATAGAGAAAGTATTGTAATTCTATGGGGGAACCGGCTAATTTTTTATACAAAAACTCATATTGTAGGGCCCTGGTAACAAAATTGGGGATAAAGCTTGTCCCTAGATGTAGTCAATTTCTTCCTCTAATACATTCTGTAGTCAGAATCCATGTTTGCGAGTCCGTGATACCAAAAAATTGATTGAGTGGTCAACGCTAGTTTCTAAACCATTGAACCTTTCTCCAAAATTGATTTTCCCCCATGGATTTGGCTGATGTCAGGGGCCCCATGAATTTGAAACCCATATTTTCAATTGGGGGAGGGTGTTCTTTATATGAAGCCCGTCAGACATTTCAAATTTCAACATTAATTTTCAAAATTATACAAAAAAAAGGGTCAAATTTTTTTATTAATTTTTTTTTTGGATTGTATAAAGGCTGAAAATGGTGCAATTTCATGGTCTTAAAAATAACATATTTTTTAAAATTTACAAAAGTACAATTTTTTGGGGCACCTTCCTACAACTATAATATTGAAGATGAAGATTTGTTTCCTTTATGAAATCTTATCCTTAAAACACATCTTGAAATAATGTCCTATTCAATTTTTCAAAAATATGAATAGCATTCTTGTGATTTTGCATGAAATATAGGAAATTTTTTTTAAAAAATTATTTTCTTCTAAAAAATTGCTCAATTTTTTCTTTAAATTTCTTCTTCATAGGTAATAAAGGATGATAAAAAATATGGCATTAGTCCCACTTTTTCCAAAATTGCAAAAAGTATACATTTTAATAATAGAAAATTGAAGATATATACCAACTATGGGCGACAAGAAAAATCCTTGAACAGGAATGGATTGAAAGTGTATAAAAAAAATTTACTTTTAATTAAAATTTACTATTATCCAATTATTCAATTTTTACGCTTTTCTAAGATTTGTATTCTCAATGTATTGGTGTATTTCCTTTCAAGCTATCGGTAAACGTTAATTTAAATTAGCCCAATTAGGTTTTCTCTCTCCAAATTTCGCTTTAAATGTAATACGGAAAAAAAATGAGTACCATAATTTTATACGCACTTTTTAACGATAAATTTATGCTACCACCATGTTGCATTGGGCAGCGATGCATATTTGAGAAGTCTTTTGTTGAATGGCGACATGAAGGAAAAGATGATATGAATGTATATTCAGATTTTCATAAGATAATGATATCGTTTGAAATGCATTCTTAATATGATGTATTGTATGTCCATCAGTTCTCGATGTTCAATTTATATGTGAAATTTTCCTTACTTGCCTGTATGACGTGCTGGAAATAATGTGAAAAAGAATGTGCTGTTGGAACTCCTAGTTTAATTTACTGTAAAACCCCACATTTATATTTTCCTGTTGTCTTTTACACCAATTATTTCTATTCTTCAATTTCTCTAAGATCGCAATGTAAGATTATACCTGCTTTAACACTTTCCAAATTTCTGGACTTTCACATGCAACATGATCATATGTTTGCCTGTGGATCTTGTATACATTATATTGCTCCGACCATCATAATTATTCCATATTATCCCAGGTGTCCTAGATTAGGCGTTATGAAAGAGAAAGTCCTTTTTAAATAGAATTTATTATGTGCATTTTGAAGTGTACAGCCAAAGATGTCCATTATTTACTCTAAAGATTAGATGTTAATAAAAGAAGGTACTAAATGTTTTGTGTATTGTTATATAAGCAAGTACCAGTCTCACTTTACACTCTTATTAAATACACTCTTGATACTATTTACTCCTTTGTTAAGGCCTTGAATGTATGAAAAGGGGTTTGTAAATTTTTAACTTTTCTTTTGCTTAGTACTGTACTCTACCTGTTTTGAAGTTACAGTGAAACCTGGCCAAGCAGCCACCCTAACGAAAGGCCAGATTTTTCCATATAATTATATTTGAAGTAGTAGTTGAATTGACAATAAAAGTCATGGTGAACATTAAAGTTTAGGATTAACTTCATTACCTGTTAGCCATTTGTGTGAATCATACCAAGAAGGATTGAATTTTCTTACATTTTTCTGTCCAGCATGATGTACAATCCTTCTCAACATAGGAGTAGGTCACCCATTGTTCAAAACTTGTCTTCCCTACGTCGTTTAGACGAGAAAATTCTGTATGTAGTAGTTCATTCACTGTATCTGTCATAATATTAACGTAAAACCAGATTTAAATATAAAACTTAAAGGAACTCTAATACTCCGCAGCATACTAATTTAAAATAAATGTCTTAAATAATAATCACTTTCTCCACTTGTTAATTTGTCAACAAATCAGTGAACACACACGCTATGTGGCATGTGTGTGAGTGGAAATCGGAGTCTTCTATGCAGTTGTGTAGCAAGTAAATTCACTGACCTATGCATAACGTGCATGCATCAAGTATGGGTTCAGCATGCTACTGCTCTACACTCACTACAGGGCCTTTTCTCAGAATACGGTGTGAAATGAGGCAGCGCCCGGGCGTGCCTACCCTGAGAGGTGCAAGCAGACACATGTCTCTGCGGGAAGAGACAAGACATTGCGTAGCGCACAGGTTGTTAGAAAACCCTTGAAATGGAAATATAGCTAATGCCACGATAATGAAATGTTCTTTACATATTTCCCAGATGAATAACACTTATACCATATGAAAATGTTTAGTCATTTAATTTTTTATTACTATGAAATGTTTTAAACTAATACATACCAGTGTAGGCAGTGCCTGCCTTGACTACTCCAAGGAGCCATAACTGGTACATACAAGACCCTCAAAAGAAAAAATTTCTATGACCTTTTCTCAGATTACTTCTCTTTTTCAGTACTTGCTAATTAGACAATGTGAAAATCCCATGGAAAGTTTAGAGCCTTGTAGGCACATGGATGGCCTATGAACATCTCAGAAAGGTTCACAGGCAGATATTTTCAAAGAAAGAAAGGGGGGGGATACGGCTTCAGAATCGGATGTATTTACAAACAAAATAACATCAATTTTTTGTAGCATTATTTTACTTTCTCTACAATGAGAATATGAGGAAGAAAATCTATATAAAATACTACAAAACCAAAATTTTTACAACAAAAAATACAATAAAAAAAAAGATGTTTGTAATTTAAAATTATTTTACATTTACTGTATTCATATTTACATATTGTACAAAACACTTATACAATGTTTTTTTTGTTGCTTTCTACCAACAAATGTACAAGAAAAGCTTTTTATTGCTACATACATTTTCCCCTTAATTTAGTAACATCAGCTGGAGCAGCTCACTTTAATATGTCGAGCCCAACAAGGAGGAGGAGAACTATAGCTCATTTCTTCAGCTTCTTCCTGATAAGAAAAGGGATTCTGTAAAACCTTCAGGAGTAAATTTACTTCTGAAAAATCATAGATCTCTGCTTTTTTAATAGCAGATTGAGCCATCCACTGCCGCAGCACATACCGAGGATTATTTGCCTTCATCAAAGCTTGACGTTTAGATTCAGTTAATTCTGTGAAAAAAATACCATTTGAAAATCTTTTGAATTATTATGAAACAGTGAATAAGACAAGAGACAATGGCAATCTAATAGTACTGAGGAGCTTTAGATAGGAGATGATAATACAGTTAACTCTGGTTCTAATGAACACTTGATTATGGTCACGGGTCCTATTTCACTTACATTACAAATAAGCATAAGAAGATTCAGTTATAGTGACCACTGAACCTTTGCTGTAGTGAACGTAGGAAATACAACCCGAAACTTAATTTCCTCAGTGCCACAAATTGCAACCCTAGCCAGTTTGGAAAAAAATATCATCGGCCAAAGGTCATAATGCAAGAAGTCTCTCCTAAGGAGCTCCTAATGTTTCATTCAACACTTTCATTAGCTGCTTATGCCATGCTGCTTCCAAAGGGATCTCTTTATGATATTAGGCAAGTAAAAGGGCAAAGGCCCAAAGGGGAGTGGTTTTTCAACAGTGCAAGAGGCATTGAGGGGTATTTTTAATATGAAGACTGCATTACAATACTTATAGACAGTGGTCAATCAAGTATGGAGAAAGCATGAACTCGAGATCTGTGGGAATTTCTAATGAAAAATGTACATAGCAACAATTGCAAAATAATAATTTTTTACGTCACATAAACATATTTTTCAGGTCATGCTGTTAATGTATTTTACTGTTTTTATATTAATACAATTAATCATTCAGGAAAAATTATATGACATCATCAGATATAGTGAACCAAATGTTAGTCCACAAAACTTCACTATAACTGGAGTAGACCGTATTAAGAGCGCTATGGAAAACGTTTTTAACCTTAATTATTGGTTCTGAGAAAACCAATATGTGTAATTTTTCAAAACCCTAGGCCAAAACCCAACCCCAACCCCAACCCCAACCCCAACCTCGACCCCAACCCCGACCCCAAGCCAAGGGATAAGTAACATCTGTAACATGTATCTATGGGTTTGGTCAGGCAAATTGAGAAACTAATGGATTTTTATTTCTTGTCAAACTATTTTGCAGAAAACTCTCCATTAAAATTTAAGATTTGGGTTCTTGAATTTCTTTCTGTGTGGATTCTTCAATTAATAACTTAAAATTCAGCTCACTTAATTTGGAGAAACAAAATCAAATATATGAAAAACGTGTCTATATCAAAATACTCATTTGTAATGCACCATGGAGCTGCTAAATCATAACGAGAGTACATAGCAAAAAAGTGATTGAAATAGCCAGGCAAGGAACTACAATCACTTTTTTCCAGAATACAAAGGTCACTGATCTTTCGCATTTTACTTGGAAATTTGAATTGTACTTTGGCTTATAGGATCACTGTTGCAACCCTTGATATAAAAGCATTTGTTAAGTACCTGGTTCTAAGGCAATCCGCTTCTTGTAAGCCTCAATGAATGTCTGGAATGTTTTAGCTTTTTTAAGTGTTTCAAGAGCCCACTTTTCTTTGGTGTGTTCTGGCTCAAGGATATGCTCAAGTTGAACTTCTCCCAACTGACAAAAGCCCATAGTAAAATCAGTACTAGTCTCCTGCATGAGGTTTAGTAGTTGCTGGGTCAACTGAAGGTCTCCTGGTTGATCAGTTGTGAGTCCTAATTTCTTGCGAAACACAGCACTTGGGGGGAAAAAAATGTTTTCAAAGAAAAGAATGGAATAATTAACAATAATTTGCCCTAGGAATATGGCTCATTATTATGAAATATAGTTTTAACTTTAATAATAATAATAATAATAATAATAATAATAATAATAATAATAGTAATAATTATCATCACCTTCAATCAATAATTATACTTCTCAATTTATAGTCATTGAAAATATTACAATAACTTCTTATTCAATATCAATTTTAATTACAGATAATTATTATCTTTTATCCTCCACTTTTTACCATTCAATGACTCACCAGTTAAAAGGTCCCTAAAGCCTGACAATTAAAAAAAATATCATATCTGAGAAGGGACTAATTTACCTGAGTTTATCATTTGCATGTTTTTGCAAGTTCTTCACCATTTCCATTAATTGTCCAGTTCTTTCTTGATTTAGTAGTACTGAAAGGGCCCTTGCCAATTTTTCCAAATTCCATATAACAATCTAAAGATGTACATTTTGTTATGTTAATAGTTAATTAATAGTTACAATTTTTCATCAAAAATTAACCATTAACAGCTTACTTCTGGCTGTCTTCCATAACAATACCGGCCTTCTTTATCAGAATTATTTGGGATGTATCTTTCATGATAAGCATCTAAATACCCAAATGGACCATAATCTATTGTCACACTCAATAAACTCATATTGTCAGTATTAAGAACTCCATGAGTAAATCCTACTCCTTGCCATTGAGCAACAAGTTGCAAAGTCTTATGGGACACTTCATCAAACATTTGAAGATATCTATCCTCATCTAATGGATTTATGGATGGAAAGTGCTCCTGAAAATGTATGAAATATATAATAAAGTTTGGTCTATAACATTTATTCATTTTAAAATCACATCAAACAGGAAAATGCTCACCTGTATTATAAAATCGGTAAGAATTTTTAAAGTTGTGACTTCGCCTTGTCGAGCTAAAAGTTCCAAGGACCCAAACCTGAACCATGTTGGAGCAAGACGTAAAACAACAGCTGCTTTTTCCAGCTCAGGGAATCCATTGTAAAACTGGTCTCTTAAAACAGGATCATTGCTTACAACAAGGGCAGCAGCTCGTGATGTTGGCACTCCTATATAAATGATGAATTAATTTACCAACATGTGCCTTATACTCAGATACCCAAGAGGAACTGAATAGTTCATACCTAAGTAATGCATGGCTTCGGAACACAAAAATTCTCGAATTGATGAACGTAATACTGCTCGGCCATCCCCATCACGAGAATAGGGAGTCATTCCAGATCCTTTAAGCTGCAACTCCCAATGTTCTCCTTTGCTATTAATACAAATTACAATGAAATTTAATAAATATTTACCATGTATACAGAGATAATATGAAAAAGAAGCAAATCAAGTACTTAAAAAAACATTTCACCACTGAAAATAGTTCATAACTCACTTATTTATGTATTCTCCTAATAAGTGTGCTCTACCATCACCAAGCTGCATGGCCCATGTACCAAATTGATGTCCACCATAACGATGAGCAAGAGGCACTGAGCTAGAAAGTACTAGATTGCCAGACACAAATTCTGTAAAGTCTTCAGATTCAGTAATGGAAGGGTCCATGTCCAATATATTAATCAATGCATCTTTTGAGTAAGAAACTAGTGAAATTTTATGTTTCAGAGGTGTGGGTGAAACTTTAGAAAACACAGCACCAATTACATTCCTTCTAATATAATTACTTTCTACCTTGTCAATTGGTAACAGCAATAGTTTAGGAGTGCTAAATGACCACTCAGAAAGAGATTTCTTTAGAACATCACACTGACTTTTGCTATCTTCCATGATTAAGTTTGTATAATTTCTTATCAAGTGTGTGTGTTTTAGTGTTGTAAATATTTGTGCACTAACAAAACTGTGTAACATATAAATAACAATGGAAAGATTTTTAAGGATTATTGCCATCAGTTTGCATATTTAATTCATGCACAAGTATTTTGAACTTTCAGTATTTAACTGCAATAGGGATTATTTAGACAAAGGGCGCAATTCTTCGCGCACTTGGGCGTATAGCGGTTAGGATACAAGCGGGTCGTTATCATTCATCACTACGAAACTTTCGTAAGTAATATTGCAAGGGTGTAATGTTTATCACTTCAATGTGACGATTTGTTCTTAATAGTTTTTAACTGTAACTTCGAAATCATTCGTATTCACATTAGTTCACATGCTTGTGAATTCGAAACGAAATACCACGGTTTTTCGTACACCGTGCGAAACACTGTCAAAATTGGTCAAAATATCATGTGGATGGTCTACACGTGACATTCTTCGCAAACTGTTTCTATAAAAAGTAAAAATTTCTACTAAAAAATTGTGATTTACATGTACTACAAACAAAATTACTATGCTGTGCAAAATGACTATGCGAGAACTACGCTAAAAAGACTATGCGGCGTTTTTAATAGATCTTTAATAAAAAAATTGAATAAAATTTCACTGAACGTGCTCTAACTTTCCCAAATGAAGAGCTTTCGACTGGTTCAACAGGTTTCGAGCAGCGGGTTTCCACGTAAATGGGTGGTTTCGACACCCATTACGAAATCGTAACTTCAACATTTGAACGGACGAGAGGAGTGAGAAAGCATTTTTATCTCTTACAACGTGCTTTTGACTTCGTTCTGGGGTTACTAAAGAGCGCTAAGTGCTCTTTCCATGGAAACAGAAAAGTAAAGAAAAAACACGGAATTTTCACTCATGTTTACAAGATTACAAGGATGTTAAAAATCTTTCACGTACTATTCAGAAAAAAAAGTATTGTAAGATTTCATACTCAATACATTCATAAGCAATATATCAGAAATAATATTTAATTTTTTTTTTGGAATTATTCGCATTTCTTACTTTATTAAATTAATCTAAATTTGAATTTCATTTATTGAATTTTAATTTATATTTCGCATTTCCTAGTTTCTTTCTTTTGTAATCTTACTTCAAGACCAAGGGTCTCTAGGTAACCATATTGGGGCCACTCCTTTTTAACCCTTAAAAAGAAAAAAAATGCAACATATTTATTATTTAACATAACAATATAAAATAATTATTAATTGTAGGTTCATGATATGTTGTTTTCAAAAATTTATTTTGTATATTTTTTCAAATATATGCCTGAGTTTTTCTATCGTCTTCTTTCATATTCTCTCGACTCAATTAGAAAACTCCCTCTATATAATAATAATTTATCATGACAGTCGTTGGCCGAATCAGTAGCGTACGAACAAGGGTCCCGTTCAAAAACTAAATTGCATCCCCCCCCCCCCCAACAAATTTTGCCCAACTAAAACAAGCGTGCCGAAAGCTAGTTTAAAGAAACTATTAATAATAATCAATCCCGAAATTCAGAATCGAGTCCTGTGGACTTTCGCTTTGACGAACTTAACAAATAATGTCGCCCAGGTCCGCTTTATTCACAATGGACAGCTAAGGTCTGCCGGTGTCTACGAACAGTAAGATTTCTGGGCAGACGCCTGGAATGTTAGATTTCCACCAAGTGAAATAGTGAAGTACTCGGTCAAGGTCCAAGTTAACTAACTCTGATTGAATGAATCATCGAAATTCGATCTCTCTTACAATATAATAGCTAGGCGAACTGTTGATCAGTTACGTCGTCATACCATTCGCTGAATCGCTGAAATTTTCGCATTGATTCGCAAGTTCTTATCTGAAATTTGCAACGAAGTTTGTGACTCACTTGGGCTGAATGATCGCACATGAAACTATTATTTGATTCAAACGAATAAGTCGATGACTCAGCTGACTAATCACAGTATCAAAACAAGCGAATTAATCAATAATTTTCAATCATTTTAGTCGTCAGATAAAACGTTGATATCGCATATTTAATCGAGATGATGTTTTGGGTTTTTAAACATTAAACGTTTTTAAAAGTGAAGTGAGAAAGGAGCCCATCGGACTTCCTACAAGTTATTGATGTAATTATTTTTTTATATAATTTTATTAATTTCATTATATAATGTGTCCGAATATTTTTTGACATTCCGAAAGATTAGGTATTCTTCAAATTTATTGTAATTGAATAATTTTTAATGTGAAAATTAAACTTCCATGTTGTTCTAATGTATGAAATGTGCGTCTTTCATTATTCACAACCAAAATTATGACAACTTCAATATTTTCTTCTAAATTAAAGAAAATGTAAAATCGAAGGTGTCCGAATATATTTTTGAGTGAGTGTATTTTCATGCAATACTATATATTTATAATTACAACACACGTCGTAGAAATCACGTTTATCAAGTGTCTGTATCAATAGCTCACTATCAGAAATCCACATACAATACATGTATCCACATTCTGAATTCTATCAAATTCTGTCAGTCTTCATGAAGCTCGTTGCGTGTATTTTGCAAATGTACATTCCCTTCCCACCTGAGATATGGTATAAAATTCTGGGGAAACTCATCATGTAGTATTCAGACCTTTAGATTGCAAAAGAAAATTATTCAAATAATGAAAAAATGCCATCCGCGTTACCATTGCAAAGCCTCTCTTCATTGAGCTTGAAATCTTAACACTGCCTTGCCTACAATACTTCAGCCTCCGGGTCAATGACCCCATCTAGATCAGGTTTTTGTTCAGTTTCCCTGATCCATTGAGCAAATGCTGCGATAGTCTCTAGTTTTGCTTCTGGATTCACTATTCGCACGTTTTGTTGAACTCTCCTTTTGCTTGTAATGGTAGGAGTAGAGGTAAGGGCGAGTTACTATTTTGTTAGCAATACAGAAAAATCATACCTGCAATTCGTTTATCGATGTAAATAAGTTTTCTATAACTCGAGAACGAAAATGTCTAGTTTTTTTCAAGTGTTTCTAATCTCCCGTTTCTTTAAAATTTATTTTTAATTATTTATAGTTAAAATGATGGGAAGGGATTCTGGAATTCAAGAAAACGTGCGCAGATCGTCTCCCCCATACGTCACATATAGTTTTTTTACTAAATAAATCTAACTCTACCTTTCAGGGCGACTCTATGTATAGTACTTTTGGGGAGGGGGCAGCCACTCTATGTGGAATATTCTAGCTCATTGGATAGAACAATGGTGGAAATAACTCTATTTTTTCTTCCTTTTTTCTTTGCTTCAGCTCGAAACAGTCAACCAGAAACGGAAAGTCAAATGCGATAAGACTTTTTATTTAATTATTTATTTAGTGCTTTTTTAGGGAAGTAGTGTTGTGATGAATTATATATATTCTTCCGTGGTATTGCATTCAGTTCTTCACTTGTTTTCGTAATCTTCTGTACGTGCCAGTATTTATTTCGGAACATCGAGAAGGCGGTGATTGTTTAGGCTGCCGAAATTTAAGTCGTGGCAGTGTCGGCGAAATTAGTTGTGGGTGAGGTATTACTCTATTTATTGTTATTAATAATAATAATAACAGATAGACATTGCCTTCTCAATAATGTCATACACTGAAGAATACGTTAAGAATAAATTGCTAAAGGAGTTAGAAGCTACTCATGTTGTAAGTAAGATTGCAAGTGAAATGTGCATCATTTTACATTAGCTCGCCTTAGAGACTGATCAATTGTACTGTTATAGCCGTTCATTTGAAATTTAGTGGAAATCAAACTACAGACATGACTTCTGAAAATGCATTACGAGGAGCAATGTTTATTGCACTTGCACTGGCTGCCTTGCTTCGATGGTGTGTTTCCATGCACCCATACTCTGGTCAGGGTACTCCTCCAAGGTTTGGTGACTATGAAGCCCAACGCCATTGGATGGAAATAACATATAATTTGCCAATACAAGACTGGTATTTCAATACATCACACAACGATCTTAATTATTGGGGCCTTGACTATCCACCAATAACAGCATATCACAGTTACATCTGCGGTTACATTTCTAATCACATGAATCCAGCATATGTTGTTCTAAATTCTTCACGAGGTTATGAAAGTTATGAACATAAACTGTTTATGAGAGCATCAGTTTTTGTAGCAGATTTTCTCATCTACATTCCTGCTGTTTGGTGGTATTTTTCCTACAAGAAGCCAACATCTGCTCATCGAAGCTCATTTAGAAGTCTTAGCAGTGGTGTTGGTGTTAGTGATGGGAGTGATGGTGGTGGAGGAAGTGGTGGTGGTGGCAGTGGCGGCAATGGCAGAGGAGATGGCCAACCTGTAAACAGTTATGACTCTTCAAATTCTCAGATTTTGGCCTTATTCTTGGCTTTAGTGTATCCCGGATTAATATTAATTGATTATGGACATTTTCAATATAATAACATCTCTCTTGGATTAACTGTAGCAGCAGTAGCTGCATTGTATCGAGGTTTTGAACTTTCTGCATCAATACTTTTTTGTTTTGCTCTTAATTATAAGCAGATGGAATTGTATCATGCATTACCTTTCTTTTGCTACCTGTTGGGATCTTGCCTACCTAATAAAGAACAGCCACTGAGAATTGGGTTAATTAGATTAATCAAAATTGGACTTATTGTAATATTATCATTTCTGCTTGTGTGGCTTCCATTTCTTAAGGATTTTGATACAACCTTACAAGTAATTCATCGTCTGTTTCCATTGGCTAGAGGTATCTTTGAAGACAAAGTTGCTAATGTATGGTGTTGTATAAACATTGTGTATAAATTGCGTAATGCATTTAGCAATATTACTATGGCTAAACTGTGCCTGGGAATAACATTATTTGCTGTTTTCCCTTCAAGTATTGATTTGTTTTTACATCCTAATTTGAGAAAATTCTTAATTGCATTAATCAATTCATCTCTAGCCTTTTTCTTATTTTCATTTCAAGTTCATGAGAAAAGTATTCTTTTAGCGGCTATACCAGTTACTCTGTATCTTCCTGTAGAACCTATGATTTGTTTTTGGTTTCTTTTTATCTCCACTTTCAGCATGCTTCCTTTATTTATAAAAGATGGATTGTTGCTTGCGTATTTGGCTCTGACAGTTTTCTATGCAATTTCTGCTTATTTAACGATTGACTTTTGGTTTAATAAACCAGTTTATAATCTGTCAAATACCGGGGTGTTAGTTTTCAAGTCTACGGTTGAAAAAAGTAAAAAAGCCTTGAAAGCACATGTTGATAATGTAACACAACAGTTACAAAATATTCCTTCTTCTTTAAATAACGTTTTAAGACTTGGATTTATACTGTCAGTGTCTGGTTGTGTAATACTTACTCTGTGCATTAGCACTTTGCATCCTCCTGAGCGTTATCCTCATATTTATCCTTTATTAATATCTGTGTATTCTGCTGGACATTTTGTACTTTTCTTCTTATATTTTAATTATAGACAGTACTGCATGGTACCTCCCTAATGCTGAGGAGAGGACTAAAATAAATTATTTGGTCAAAAGATATTGATAAAATTTTTATTTCCTTTATAGTATAATGTGGTAAAGAGATAATGTCCAAATTAATATTTTTTGTTTGGTGATTTATTGTTTCTGCAAGTGCTATGACAATTAAGTGCTACATGTAATTATTAAAGTGTATAATTTGTATTTCAGTTAAGCATGAGCTATTATATTTGCAAGGATGACTCCTGATGTCTCCGCATGACTTATTTATTCCCAATGTTATATTCTAGGAAATCATGTGCATGAAAATTGTTTTGCATAATGTGATATCTAATTTATGGAAATAACATTTCTCTATTTATGTGATTCTTGATATTGTGATTTAAATAAATTGGCTTGAATTGTATGAATCTCTGGATGTGAAATATGATGTATGAGAACCACGGTTGTTCATTTTTTAATGCAAAATATGTGTTCCAGAATTTGAGATGGACTCAGGATCTATATGTCATAGGGGGTGGAGGGTTTATTTTATAATATAAATTTGTTAATAGGCTGGGTAGGCAGTCATTGATGTTGTAACAATTTAATATGAAACTTAAATGAAAACCTTCAAACGTACAAAACAAGCCTTAATCATCGTGTCTATGTAAATGAGCCTGCTTGTTACTTTTTTCCTAAATTGAAGAGGATATATTGTTTGAGGAGATGGAAATGGAGGTTTGTGTTCATTCAAACGTGTAAACTGAAGAGGCTCCAAAGTTCTAAATTTAATTGTGATGTATGTTTTGGATTTTAAGTTATGGAGAATAGAATAATTACTGATGTACCTTGGTTTCTCAGCAAGTGATTGGTTTCTTATTTTTTAGTACTAGTCATTGTATGATTGATATTGTTAAGAAAATACTTGAGGGACATGTCAATGGCATTTATCTTTTTGTATCATAGTTTTATTTGCTGAATAATCTAATAAAATTAGAAAGAAAACTATGTTTATTTTATTGTATGATACTTCTGCATAAAAGGACCTTCCTTTTCTTCTTGGAATGACATGCATTAATTATTTAAAACGTGCATGTTTTACCTTACCCTAAGTTTTTTGAATTCTGTATATTATAACATAGACTTCAAAGAAAATTTTTTAAGTTATCAATATTTTTGAATACAGTTTGCTTGTTCAATTTTCAATATTCCGTATCCATTCATAATTGCATGAGAAGCTAACCCATTTGAATGTTTGAGATGAAAGATAACCGTGTTATTTTTAACCCTTTGAAAACGGTAGAGAATGACTGCTGAATCTCATTACAGGAAGTTGAGGATTTATCAGATGGTTGTGGTGCAAAATTTAATGCTCTTATAGTCTCTTCAAAATTTGAAGGAAAACCATTGCTTCAGCGTCACAGGTGAGCCAATCAATGTCCTTTTTAATTTTTGTTTTTTACAGAATTGTTAATACACTGCCACATGTAAATGTTTTGACTGGCTTACAGGTTGGTCAATTCCATATTGAGTGAGGAACTGAAAAGTATTCATGCATTCTCCCAGAAAACAATGACACCCAAAGAGTGGGATAAACAGAATAGCCAGTAGGAACATTAATAGAATGTGAATTTGCTGCTGTTTTTAAAAAATACTGAAAATATTTTGGCATTAATATGAATAATTCTCAAACAATTGATTTTTCAATCTCTGTTCCTGGAAAAGTGATTCTTCATGGTGAACATTCTGTTGTATATGGGAAGACAGCTTTAGCTGCTAGTGTGAATTTAAAAACAAGATTAAAATTTACTACAAATGTGGAAGAAGGTGGACCAAAAATAATTCTTGATCTACCATGTATAGAATTTAATCATTCATTTCATTTGAAAGATTTACGAGAATTATTTAAGAAACAAGAAGTTCCCCTGCTAAATGATGCTCCTCATAGAACTTTCTCTTTGAATTCTCCTGATTCAATTAATTTTGATAAACATCTTGAAATTGCAAAATCATTTTTACTGTCTCAAAATTTGCCAATTTCTAGTAGCCAGGAAAGTGCAATTTTATCATTCTTATCCTTATTTTGGGGCATGTTTTCTAGTGTAGATGTGCCTCTGCCAAACTGCCTTATAAAAGTTACTTCAGAATTAGATATTGGAGCTGGGATGGGTAGTTCAACTGCATATAATATTAGCCTTGCTAGTGCTTTTCTACAGTATATTCGCCGTTACAAACTGAAACAGCTTAGCGATCCTTGTGAAATATCAAAACAAGGTTACAAGAGCTTTGTGTACTGTTCTACTGACTTGGAAAAATTTGAGAAAGAAGAATTAGATCTCATTTCTCGTTGGGGACATTTTGGAGACAAAATAATGCATGGAAACCCCTCAGGAATAGATAATGCTGTTTGTACTTATGGATCAGTAATTGAGTTTAGAAAAGGAACTCATGGTCCAGATATAAAGATTATTCCAGATCCACGATTCTTGAAGATTCTTCTGGTGAATACAAAAATTCCAAGAAATACGAGAAAATTAGTTAGCAATGTAGCATCATTCAAAAATCGCTATTCTTGCATTGTTGAACCAATTCTGTTGGCTATGGATAGTGTTGCTTTAACAGCTGCAGAAGTTTTGAGACGCATGAGTCAGATTGGTGAGAATTATGATCCACCAAATAGTAATGCTCTGGAAGAGACTTTGAGTAAAGAAATAGGGAAACTTGAGGTAAGTACACACTTATTTTATTATGCTAATCATTAATTTGTAACAAGACATTTTTCAGTTTCGCCATTGCCCATGCTTCCATTTCAACATCCTTCACTTTCCTTACCCAGTGTGTTCCGAAATTTTGTGTCCTGTTTGTGCTGTGACTTCAGTTCAAGGATGTAGCTTGTAGCTGAGCACATGATTTAAATAAGGTCTATCTGCCCCTTTTAAGTTTTCTTTGTGAAAGTTATCTATATTTAACTAGTATCTTGGCCATTTTGTAATCCATTTAATATTTTCATTTCTAGGAACTAATTGATGTCAATCAAAAACTACTGGAAGCACTTGGTGTCTCTCATGACACATTGGAGCAAATATGTCACATTGCAAAAAGTGAGGGTTTGCATGGAAAGTTAACTGGTGCAGGCGGAGGAGGATATGCATTTGTGTTGCTTCCATTTCGTGGTTATGATAAACAGTTGTGTGCAGTGAAAATGAGTTATGAAAAAAATCACTTTCCTGTTCAACAAGTTACATTAGGAGGTAAATAATTATCAAAAATGAATTTTATTTTGAAATGTGAACATTAAAAAATACAAAAAGAATACTACAGTTTTTGAAATTCCTTAATTTGTTTTATATTTAGGTCCTGGTGTTACACTAATTGATTCATCTTTGAGTCGAACATACGAGCAAAGAAGGAAAAGTGATTTCTCTACGTAAGTGGGTTTGGATTATTTTATGTTCTGTGCTCAAGAAGGGTGTTAATGGTCATGAAAATGGTGATGGCATTTTATGAGAAAAAGAATATTAAATTCACTTTTCATTCCTACTCCTATTTTTCCTATTATTCACTTAAATTGTGGCTGAGTGAAAAACGTATGTCCTGACCATATTTCTATCTTACCTTTCCTCCAGGATTCCTTCAACACCCAAGTCCCCAACTCATGATTTTAATGGTAAAATATCTTCTGATTCATCTGAGACTGATGAACAAAAAGCCCAACCAAAGGATGAAGATCTTGAAGAATGGCCTTGGCCATTTGATCTTCGGGAAGTAGTAAAGAATATGTTTGAAACTCAAATAAAAGAAGATTTACAGGGGGGTGAAATTGCAATTCCGCTCCAAAGTTTATGTGCAGTCAATGTTCCTGAACCATTACCACAATGGATGGATAAAATCACAGAGTTACAAGATCGCATAGCATCAACATGGAAAAATGCATTACAAGAAGGACTGGCACAAAGATGGAAAATGCAAGATCAAACTAAGGATAGTCAGTTTGGAACTAACAAAATTTTAAGAGCTGCACAAAAAAAGCTACAAGATAGCACTGCTCCTATAACCAAACCAGGTGCTCTCAAAAGTAATGTAGACCAACTAGTTTCTCCTACAGCTAAAGGACAGAGAACCAGCAAGCGAATTTCCATAGATGTAAGGTCAGAAGAATCTGATTCAAAGGCAAAACCAACTATGGATGCAGAGTATTACATCCCTAAGCAGGCTTCATATGGAGGAAAATCTCGTGAAGAATTGAGTCGTCCTTCAAAGTGGTTGAAAGATCAGTTTCCTCCATATGGCAATAGAGAGTGGAAATATGGTGCAGATTTGGATGAAAGTTCTCGACAACTGCAAAACCTTCAGAGAAAGCACAAAAAGTTTTTAAAACACATGAAACCCGGCTGTGATCATTTCAAAAAAACATGTGGGAAGGATACTTGAAAAAATTGTTTAATTATAGTTTGACATAGTTTCAGGAAATCCTATGAAAACTATTATTGAAATAATGCTTTTGACTCCAGTCAGATCTGTATTGTTTTCAGTAACATTTCTTCTTTAATCTTCAATTACATAGTATGTTTCTTAATTATTCAGCCATTGTTTGTGTTTGTTTTATTATACTTTTGTATGCTTTTTTGAAAAATTTGTATTATGCAATAAACTATTTTTTGTGTTATTTGTAATTTCATTTGTGAAATTATTAGAGTTTTTAAACTCAGTTTTATTGACTCATGTTACACAAACGTTTTTCTTCTTGACTTTTTTTCTTCTTGCAATCACGACAGTTCAAATTCATGTTTAAATACGTTTTTTAAGCAAATAGTTAATGTCATCTTCATCACACAACTTAATTATTGGGTAAGAGAAAATTATATAGTTTTAAATCTCCAATCTGTATTTGCTCCTCCATATGTTCAAGGCTTTTGTAACATGGTACTAATAAAAAAAGTTTGAGACACACAGAACCTTAAACATGTCAAAATGTCTAATATTTTTCCAATCATTTTCATACACTTATACTGTCTTGGTACATTTCCATAATGGTGACTTATGACTTATAAAATTATACATCCATTCTGATAGTTTGAAAACCATATTAATGAGGAATGTCATCACATGCTTACAAGAGGTCAACAAGCGATAGGCGAGATTCTCTGCTAGTTTTTTCTTTTTTCTAGAAATATTTGGATGTAGAATCTGTTTCTACATATCAATAAATGGTCATAAAACAATTTTTTTTTCAATTTTTATCTACCTTTAACTTTTTGCTTTAATTATTTATTCATAAAGTTTACTAATTGAACTTGTAAAATTAAAACCCCTCAAGTTTTCACGTTTTTCTTAATATTTTTAACTTTTCAGTAAGACTCAGAGATAAATATGTCTATCTATTATCATGAATTTGCTTTTGTCAGGAGGTAGGTGAACAGTGAGGATGGATGATAATACTAAAACACTTCAGAAATTGTGCAATCATTTTATTGAAATAGATTAACTAATGGGCAGCTTTAAGTACTCAATGAATGAAGTCTAAAATCAACATTCTGTCCTAAAAATGTAACTTAGGGTTTTTTGCATTGTTAATTTATGTAAATATATTGTAACAAAATTCCTCTAGGGAGATAGGGTCAGTTTCAACATGCATATTATAACCAAACCGTTTGGAGAGATTATTACACTTCTGTAAACTAGTTTAGGCAAGACACATTAACAAGTATAAAATCAGCAAGAATCTGAAATAAATGTAATTAAACATTTCATGATATGTAAGTATTGAGAATTGCGTAAATTATAGTTATCACAGTGCAACCAACAGCATATATCTGGCACAAAAGGAATAATAGTATTCTAGAAAAAGTGTAAACTTGCCTTACTTAAAAAATGTGTGATGTGTCACCTTGAACAAATTATCCTAATTAATATCAAATAAGGTAAAAAGTAAATATATGTACAGTCAAAAAGAGTTTCACTTGTCTTTTAAATATGCCTACGATATTAGTAGGCTACGTTGTATTTTCTATATAATTAAGGTTCTTAGATGTATTTTCAGCAAAGTTACATGATTGAATTAGAGACATTGGCTGAAGTGGGAGAGTTAAAATGAGTTTTCACTGTAAGAGTAAATATTCATAAAACTATGATTTGATTTCTTTTCTAATTAACATTCTATTATATGCGGGAACTTTTCTATTACTTCAATTTCATTATTGCACAGTTTTTATCTTTTATACTTCACATATCATTTATGGAACCAATATGATAAAATAATATTCATTGTTAGTAACAATGTCAAGTTATATTTTGTGCGGCATCTCATGAAAAGTTGCAAATTAGACAATGAAAATATTGAACACTGAAAACCAAATGGGTTTAATAAGTTATAAACTTGGAGTAAAAAAAACAACAAAAAACAATAAAATAATAGCTGCCAGCAGCTAGAATGTTACAAGGAGTGCTGTTGCTTGTTATTCCTTAGCAATGATTGATCCATTTACATTTCTTATTCTAGGAACTTTTGCACTGAGAATTCTATGCAAATGACACTTAACAAAACATTAAATCACAATAGATTGACAGTAAGTTTTCAAGCACAGACTATAGAATACTGTAGAGATTCACTAGTATAACTGAACAGATCTGTTTTGGAAAAGATTATCCATCAAAACATACATGTTGCTTTTCACATGTTTTAATGAATATCTTTCTTTCATTTTCATGTACTTACATGAAAATATACTTGTACTGAAAGACTGTGACTAATTGATTACAAAATAGTATGTCTGAGACATTTAAAAACAAACAATAGATACCAGAAAATGAAAACCAATAGTTGCTTAAAGTTCTAGTTCCAAAACCAGCACTAATATTATTTCTACTCTAGTTTACTCTACATCTAATAATCTCTTGGTAGACATTTGGTAAATAAAATATAAAAGAAGGTAATGTGAATACTGTTAGCCTGAGGGAAGTATTTCTATATGTGGCAGTAAAGTTCAGATAATTTTCAAGTAATACTTACTGTTGTCAAAATAAAATCTTTCCGTTTCACCAAAGCAAGTATATGTTTATAAATCAGCTCATATATTAAACAAACTATATGCCTTTCTGTCTCTACTTATGTTCTTTGTTCCTCTTTCAGAGTTCATCTAATATGCAATGCATGACTATACATCCTTTAGAACAGTTACTTTAAGCAATATTCCAGAGAATATCTTGGGGCAGTTTTGCTATTTATCATTATACATTGCATCCTATCATTTCATGATAGCAATAAATTCCGTTTCAAATTTGGATAAACTAGCCAAATGATAAAAAATACTTCTCTCATAGAAATGGTAACTTATCTCCCACAAAGTTTGTTCTTTGTTGGGTAAAATTGTCTCATATGAGAAAACAACAGTTAATTGAATACATCAATTAATAACAATACATACCATTCAATATGCAACAATCTCATATAATAATAATAATAATAATAATAAAAAATTATTGTTGTACAATATAATGTCTTGGAGAAACAAGAGCATTTTGAAAATGGAATGTCCAGTTCCTAAACATAAATATTATATTGCAAAAATATGTCTGAGTCTGTAAAAAACAATTATTTGCTTGTGCCGGTCCAGAGAAAAATTCAATTACTTGAACAATTAACAAGCGTTGGAATCTAAAGAAAACCTTTCCCATAGCAGAATATGTGACATCAATTTTAAGCACAATTGTAATTATAAAAATTAAATTAATTGAATTAATAAATTATCGATCTAGATAACAAGACTTAAAAATTAAGGTCAATTCAACTATTTGGCATTTACATACATATTTGTATCTACAGAGAATGAAAATTCAAATTTTTATAATCTTCATCATGAAGGTAAAGTTACATCAACTCAACTTTAGTTCATTTTGTATTGAACCAAAAACCAGACAAAAGATATTCTCAAAAAATATTAAATCCCTGGCAATTTGATATTTACCAACCATTAAGGAAATTATTTAATTTTATGAATGAAATAATTTTCTAGTTTAAGAAGAAACTCTTAATTATTTTCTCTATCAGTGTGTTCTACATTACTTCTGGTTATGAATTACTTTTAAAGATATTTTTAGCCTTGGAAAAATACTTAATAATAATGGAAACTCAGATATTGATTTACTTGTTGCTTATTGGTGCTTTACGATATGTTACTGCAATTTTCAAAATATTTATTTACATGTTTCCATTATTTAATTTTTGCAAAAACACAGTAATCAATTTTCATTTTCAGAAGATTCATTGGGTTATCACATATTAATAGCCACGTTATATCAGTCCTATGTTTACAATCATATTACATCTTTTAAAAATCTCTGAATAATTGAATTGAGTGCTCTCTCTTTCCTAAATTGATAAATTAAATTTGGTCTTTTGAAGACAAAAGTTAGGATACTACATATGTTCACTACTGTTACCAGGAGTGTGACAAGGGCAAGAAGTACACAGCAACTTTATTGTAACCTTCAGAAATACTACCTTAAGAGTTAATAGTCACGTTTCTTTGGTATCCATCACTCTGTACAACAGTGTCAGAAACGACACCTTGTTCAGATCCTGTGGCTATGGAATCATCGTCTCCTTCTCCAAGGTCAGTGCTAGGTATATAACCTTCTGATTGTTCTGCAAGCTCAGCCTCATGCATCCAGTCTTCTATTTCAGAACGATACATGCGCCTCTGTAATACTTCACGGTTTCGAGGCCGAACGCCAATAAAAGTAGCTGTACCCTAAATACATAAAACAGAAGAAAATTAATAATTTTGCATTAATGTACGCAAAATTAAGGAGATCTACACTTACCCCTACCACTAAATCTTGTCGCAACTTTTCTAGTAACTGGAAGTCCTGAACCCAGCTTTGGAGTTCCTCCCATTTTAAGTGAACTTCTTCATGAAGCATTTTCTCCTCTGAAACAAATAATATAATATTATATGATTGTAAGTTATCTACACTAAAAAAATATAGGGAAATCATATAATGCACTGTTACCTTCTCTTTTACTTGTTTGTCGTTTGTACTGAATCCTAAAGCGGAATGCTTCCAGAATTGAAGCAACTACAATAGTTAAAACAATCATAGTTGAAATGTAAAATAGCATAAAATAAGCTCTGCTCCACTGAGATACAACTGAAGCATAACCATTCATTAAGATAAACCAGTTATTAACAATTGTTAGTTCGAATAAAGTTATTCCACTTGTCATTAAATTTTCAAAGGTATTTAAGTAATAATATCCCAAGGCAGTGCTACCATTTGCACTGTATTTATAGAAGTCTTCCACAGTAGTGTTTCTGTAGAAAAGAATGAACACATTACTCAAAAACATAAGGGATTATTTCTGCAGTACTATTATCAATGCTAAGTAAATTACTCACATGCAGCAATTTCTCATGTTGTAACCTGCAAACAGTTCCATGCCAACAATCGCAAAAAAATAGTACAACACCAGCATTACAATGGCAGTCGAACACATAAGAGGAGTAAGAAGAACAAGAGTTCCAAATACGTCTCTATAACGCTTCTTAAGCTTGAAAAGACGTAACAGCCGCAAAGGGCGTAGTACCACAACATATACAAAAGACGGCACAAAATACAGGATGACAACACCCAAAAGTGCTGCAAGCGTAACAGTAAAGTCATATATATTCCATCCTGAGCTGAAGTACTGCATGATTCCCAAGCCAACAATTTTAAGCAAAGACTCCAAAACATACACTGAAAGAACGCAATAAAACTGTTGTAACACGGCGAATTTGCTTTTCAAATTTGTAAAAATTAACACAATTGACATTGGTACTTACATCCAACAAATAATATTGTATCCCAGGAAGCACTAAAGGCTCTAGCCGACTCCTCTAAATCATTTGTTGCTTCAATAATACGTGCTATCATGGCAATACCATTTGAAAGTATGAGTCCATCTGTGCAATAAACATTAGAATGAGACAACCATTCAAACTTGTAATTTTGGCAACACCGGTAATCACCAGACACAAGTATCCATAACACTTTAAATGCAAGACAATTGAGGCACTAACTTTCAGAACCAGCTCAATTCAAAATATACCAAAAATTCACTTTTTTCAATTTTGTGAAGACAAAAGGTGAACTGAAATGTAAGGATTGAGTTCAAAGCTAGCTTATTCCCATGTAAATCATGACAAAAACATCCCATTCATATCAAACTGTATTATGATATATTTGTCTCTCTTGTAAAATTACTGCAAAATTTTAATTATCATTATTATTATTATAATTTACATAAAATGGTTGTCTATTATCAGAGTGCAGTATTTTCATGAAACATCTTTTATCCTAATAAAAGAAACTTTCTCGTGCATTATCTTCAGAACCTAGGAATTGGAAATTGATTCAATAGCAACAAGCCCAGATCCACTGTCTAATGTGACCTTTCTGAACTTGAAGCAAATTCACTATATACTTTTGTTACAGTGTTATTCTTAATTGGACTACACGTTATCCCCATCACACCATAAAGAAAGCATTTTCGGATTTGTTACTCTTGTGTCAATGCTTAGTTTATACTTACATATGATGTATTCAAAATATTTCCATGTTACAAGGTCATGGGCCAACTGACACATTGTTTGAACTGGAGCCCATGTAGTATGAAACCATGGGATCTGTGAGAACTGGGCATCCCATTTCAAAAGCGCAGCATCATAAACAGAATAAAACTCTTCTAGTGATAATGTGCCACTGCCAGATGTGTTGAGTTCTTTGAACATAAGCACGGTGTCACGTGTTGCTGAAAGATGCAATCTTCAGTAAAAATTATCCTTTCAGTGCACTTTTATATGATTTGTAAATGCAAATTTGAAAATATACTTACACAATTTTGGCATATAATACCTCAACACACCCGCAAATTGTTTAAACTTCATTCTATTGGGGTCTTTTTTAGAAACCAGGAGTCGAAATGCATGTTGACATGCTTTACGCTTATGAAGTAACAACTTGCGGAATTTTTCTTTTTCTATTCGTGTAAATGTTTCATATACAACAGCCAACATCTATGAAAATGATATACTTAGGAATGGATACATGTTTCATGTAAGTAAATAAAAAAATATAATGAAATAATCAAAAGATTACTAACCAGATTCATCAGAACGTAAAGAACAATGCTCAAGTATGAAATAAAAAATATTGAGAACCACTTTGATCGAGAATAAGCAGGCATCATGACATCTGGAAAGCTGAGACAGTAACATGTATATTATATTATTCCATTAGGCATCAGAAATATATTTGCAAAATATAATACAAAAAAATAATGACTATGATCTCTGGATATTTTATTCACACAGATATTAAAAGATATTCAAAATAATTCTTTACTGTTTTCTCCATTTATATGAAAGTGACTAGAACTTCACATTGCAGGTAAGAAATAATATTTTAGTCTTTATTTTCTGTGTATACTCTATTTGCTTTTTCTCTTAGATATGCAAAACCATATGAATTACTTTCCCTTTACTTGAATAATAATTGTACTTAATCACATTTGTAAATACAATAAAAACTACCTACTTGGCAGTGGTCAGAAGCACAAACATGCTGACAAAACTGTCATGAAGTGTAGTAAAATGCTGATCATGAGGATCAGCCGAAAACAGGAAGTACCCAAGAAGACCATAAATTGACACACAGAACAGTAGAAGGCCAAGCATATCCAATATTGGAGGTAATGATTGGAAGATCTGTCTGATAAAGCGCCTGACACCACCACAGTGCCTCGTGTCCACCAGAAATATTGGTCTCAACGCTCGAGTCACCCTAAAGTGAGATGACTGTCTAATGAGAACTACTATTGCCTCTACAAACATAATTCCTAGAGTCACACACTGTTGAAAAGAAAACAACAAAAGTCAAAGCATTACTTATATAAAGTTCAAGTTCAGTACAATGGAAAATAATGTACATCTTTTCTAATTTTTAATAATTTGTGTACATTGACAAGACAGTTATGATTTTCTTTTTATGTATTGTGTGGAGAACCTTGTAAGTACAGCTGTCAATGAACTTTCAAGTTACGGTGTACATATGTTCTGTTACGGTGAATTACACAAATTCAAATTACCTTAATCATTGTCCTTTTATGCTTCAATATTGTTCTCCAACCTATCCAACGTAACTTCAGTGTTAGCTCAATCCCAATTATAGTTAAAGCTAGCAATTCAATTGATCCATGAATTCCAACAGGTAACTAAAAAAATACACATTCTTATTAATATTATTAAATAATTTACAATGTATTTCAATAATGCAATATGGATAATATCCTATTTTGAAAAAAACAAACAAAACATTTCATACTTTAAACAATGGAACTGCAGGCTCTTCCACAAAGGCAAGAGCAAGGAGAATTAGAGATGTTGCCAGGTCCAAACCATAATACCACCTATTATGAACCAAAAGATATGCTGGGAGAGCTTCTTTGTTGTGTGGGTGAGAGTCAAACTTTTCATTATTTTCTCCTTCCTAAAAGACATTATAACGCTTTTAATTTTTTTATTGAATCCATAAAAGCATTTGCAAAACAGAACAAGATAGACTCAACATGCCTCAAGAAATATAGCAGCTTCATGAAAATTCATTTCCCAATGTTGCTCGACATCAATTTGTATGTCACCTGACCTACTTGACAGTTCAACGGAATTTTCTGACAATTCTCGATTTAAACTTGATGTACTTCCTATCTCATTGGGGTAGTCTTCATTTCCATTTGGAATGCGTTGTTCTGAAATTACGATTAACGAAATTAATGACAAGTGGAAGATAAAATGTCATTAGCATTGTCATGCTCACTTCACAATCTCAATAAAATAATAATTTTTAATTATATTTTTAAATATTTTGAAACTCACTGATTTTATTTGATTGGTAAGTGCCTTCATAGTTATTAGTTTCATCATTAAATCTAGAATAACCATCAGCTGACGATTGTGTACTCCGGAGAGCAGCCATTGGAAGGAACTTTCTACAGCCAACATGAGCATTCTATTATGTATTAATACTTGTATAGAAGGAAAAGGCAGAATGGAATAATTTAACAGGCTTGTTTCAATTACTAACTGATCTAATTTTATTTCCACCAAAATTTGTTGTATATGAACATGCTTGATGATTAAAATACAAATCATGGAACAAAATCGATGGCACCACTGCCATCGAATGGCAAGTAGAACAGCCCGCCATCAGCTGGTTCATAGCAGAATACAGCGGATGCTGCGGTCGTAGTTATTCCATTGTCCGTAACGCCGCCATGTTGATTCTCGTATTTACCGAGATTCTTGATTCTTCACTCGTTCTTCACAGAGGTTCTCCAATACTCCTGTAGAGTGATCCCCTTTCGTGGAGTGCGGTGTAAGGTAAGTCAACGTGTCCGTTTGGAATTATTTTTAATCCATTGCATCCTGTAGTTTTTTGGATGAAATAATGGTTAATTGCTAATCAAAATGTATATTTATGCATTCGAGTTGCTTTTATTATGTTTATTTCCGTGATATTTAGTAATGCATCCAGTTTGAAACATTCCAATGTTGTTGTTTGCACATGTTTTCTGTAGACTGCGTAAATTTATTTCTCAATTTGATAAGTACATTCATATATATATTTTTGCAGATGACTAATCCTAAAAAGGAAGCTACTGCAGCGGCACCTGCGCCAGCTGGCAAAGGTGCTGCCAAAGCTGGCGCAGAATCCAAAGCTGCCCCGGCTGAAAAAAAGCCTTCCAAAACTGCGATTAAGAGAGCAGCAGCTGCTGCCAAAGCTAAGAATGCAGCTGCAGCTAAGGTCAAGAAATCTAGAAGGGGTGGTATTGGCAAGAGAAGCCGGAAAGCTAGAGCTACTAGGAAAGAGGAGAAAAGTGCTGCCCATGCTCAGAAACGCAGTGCGTCTGCTTCCAAGGATGGCCCTCCAGCAAAGAAGCAGCGACGCCCTCATAGAGAAATTGCTAGTGGTGTGATGAAATTCAGCAGGCCCTATAAATACCACAGAGGAGGAACCTGGAAATTCGATGGAAAGAAGATCAAAAAGGTACTTTTATTTATATGTAATATTTTGGGTTTGTAAATTACAAAAGTGTTAGAAGTAGTTTGGTTTGATACTCAAGACAATTTGGTAATCATTCTGCCGATTATGCTAGAATATTTTCAATTTTTACCACCAATGTGAACGATACTTAAAATTATGCAATTGATCACACATGACTCTTAACACTGGTAATTTTATTGCTATTAATATGTTTCTGACTGCTACTAATGATGTATTTTCATGTATATTGAAATAATGTGAAATTAGCTTGTTTCGTCACTACCTCTGAAGTAGCATTGAAATTTTTGTGAATGTTAAAAACAAATTATTTTATGAGCATTAATTTAGAAATTATTTTTTTCTCGTAATATGTATTAAATATGGAAAGAATTTTCATTGATATGTTACCTTTCAAGGCCACTCCCAAAAAACCAAGAACTATTAAGAAAGAAATTGGAGGTGAAAAGAACGGAGGATTCCGAATCGTTTTGTTGAAAAAGCGCCGCAATAACTATCCAACTGCGGACAAGTAAGTAAATATTTAATTTTAATTCAGTGAACAGGTAGCTTCTTGAAATTTTTATGATGCATTGATAATATTCATATAGTTTAAATAATTTTTTCAGTTATTTTAATTGCTGGAAGCTACTTATGATGTGTTATCATGTTTATTGAAGTACTGTGAAATTGGTTTGTTTCGTCACTACCTCTGAAGTAGCTTTCAGGATTTAGAATGTTGGAGAGTTCATTGTGTTTCTGTTCAGTATATGTAATTTGTTTTGTAATAAACTGTATGTAATGACTTATAACTGCATGTTACACAAGTTAACAAGTTGTGCAGTTAACACGAGTACTTTTTTTGAATAGTATCATGAGATTGAGTGACGTCCAGAGAGTAGACAGAAAAGACAGCACTTGGTGTATAACAAGTAGTTCTTATTTGATGTGGTGGGGAGATCTAATGGAGGTTGAGGGAGGGCACCACAATTTTCAGTCCCCAATAGCGTTGAATATTGGAAGTGAATAGGGTTCACTTCCAATATTGTTTGTCCTGATTTTTAAATTTATTTATAATATATACATAATATGCAGAACAATTAAGAACATAAGAGGGAAGGAAATAGAGGATAAATATACAAAATAAAAGTGAATGATTTCACATTTTTATTATTTATTTTTAAATTAAAACATTTAATTCCTGATGATACTATTAACTTGGATTTCAAGTTAGCCTGAAAACAAGTTTTATACATTTATGTTGCTGAAAGCAAGCTCCAGATCTTTTCACACAATTCATCTTGAGTGTGAATTACCGAGCATTGTTTTTATTGTTCAGATGGGAACTGTGCCTTTTGCCCGAATATTGCTTGGTGCTGTTAAATCTCCACATCAAAATAAATGAATAAATACGGAAGACAATCTATTTTATAGAGTTAAATCCTTTTCTTGTACAAAATCAGTTTTACTATTAAAAATGGAAGTCTTTTTAATTTTTCATGATTAATTTTGAAAGGATTCATAACACGTTGCAAATGAACGGTTGAATTATGCACAGAATGTAATTACATATAAATTCTAGCTTTGATTATTACACAGTTGGTTTTAACTTCATTTCATTTATAGTACAGAATTGTGCAACACTAAAAAATCGATAACTATATTTCATTTATTTTATTTTCAAAAATACACAGACCTGAGTCCTTTTCTAGCCAAACTAGTTACAATGTCCTTTAGTAGAAAGTACATAAAATTGTTAAAATGTGTGTTTAAACTTCATCACCATCATCATTAACTTCTTTTGTCAGAAATAGATTGATTTGAAAGCGCCCTTTCTTAAAATTGTATAACAATGTCAGCATAGAGACTCTTTCTGCATCTGTGCTAGGTTCTATAAAGAAAGAAATTTAATAAAATTCAGATCATTTTATGTTGTGCCTCCTTTTCATAAAACTCTGCTCTCACAAAGACTTGTTGAAAGACATGGCGATGGTGTAAGGGTTAGTGTACCGGACTGTTGTACCCAAGTTGTTGGGTTCAAACCCGATAGAAGCCGTGGATTTTTAAGGGCGAAAAAATCCTTGGTACGCCTTCCTTTGGAGGGGAAGTAAAGCAATCTGTCCCATGTTAGTAGATTTACTTGCATGTAAGAGATCCTCAAGCCTAAATGACGCCTCTGAGCTAAATTGAAAATCTCCTGTTTCTCGCCCAAGAAATACCTCCTTTCTCTGTTAGTTGATGAAAGGAGCGTAGCGAAATTTGCGTGGTCAGACGGAAGAGCGGGCCTGATGGCCCGAGTCTCGCCACGTAAAATAAGGCAAATTCAATTCAATTCAAAAAAGACACAGCTCAGGTCCCCAGGTCGGCCCAACAAAACTGTACAAAAGCAATCTGGAGACCAAAGGAAGTTTTATTTTAAAAAAATTGAAATGTTTTTGTTATTGCATTCTAAATATAGCTGTACTGTAATTATTAATAATAAATGTTACCTCTGTTTTCTGGTCTACTCACCAAAAATTGGCATCCTGTCAGGTTATTCAGGATGTAGAATATCAGAAAATACAGTTGGGACCACACAGTAAAGTACAGTTCTCACGTTAATGACACTAATCATGTGCAACGTGATTTACATATTCATATCTTCCACTAATTAAGAGTATTCTAGGGTGAAAGCTAATTCCTTTCAGCTGCTTTATATACCTGAAGTTATACCTGTAATATATGATTAGAAACATTCGGTAATATTCTCAAATGTAGTTTTTTCCACAAGCAATAGTAAATTATTAATTAACAGTAAATTATAATATTAACATAATAGTAATAATTATAAATGCTAAAAGTATGAAGATGCAAGTATCAATGCATCAAGCAAATCTGTTGAACACAATTGCCTTTCAGTACTTCCTGGAAAGAAAACGCCTTGCCCTTCCTGCAGCTTCGTCGCCATTATTATGGCAACTTGCCACTTAACATCCTCTGTTGTGGCATTTTGCTGGGGAAAATCGGGAAATATCACACTTTCTGCAAGCATAGTACTAATTCAAGTACGAGTAAACTTCTTTTATAACAGTTCACTCCAAACAAGCTCTGTGCAAATGCTGAGGGAAAATTTTCGAATTCTAAAGCGTTCCTGTTTTCTGTGGTATTTGTCAATAAGGTTTGGTAGAGGGCTCTTCATGTAACTACTGGGCCTGGTTATGGTTGTATCTCCCCTCTGCAACTAATTTTCATGAAAGTGATACGAGGTACGGGGTTGGTTCTAGCTAGTGATACAAGACTAGTGTTACCACACGCACTTCATAGTTCTTAGTTGCTTTGGTATTTTCTTTTGGTATCTTGTGAATGTATGTTTGACAGACAAGCTTAACAAGCCATCTGTTGGGTGATATCCATGGAGGCCTTGTGTATTGCTTTTTTGGTTGTAATGTCTATTCCACTTTAAGTAAGTTGCCTTGGTGATTATGATGTGGTAGGTATTTTGTGCATTGGTTTCTTTTGGAAGGGAAAATCTTGCATACAGATACATGGCTTCTCTCAGTGTTGGATGTCTTGGCAATGTGGTTTATCTAAAGGGCTGAAAGTGCAGGTCCTGTAAACCAAAGAATGTATTAGTTTTGACAGGTCCTGCAGCTTAGTGGTTTAGGCAGCAGCCATGGTCTGTGGGTTTGAATCTTGCCTTAGGCATGGATATTTGACTCAGTGTGGTGCTGGGGTCCAAACCAGTAATAGTTGGGAGTTGGAACTCCATAAAACATAAGGAATGTAATTTCCAAAATTCAGAACACTGAATATATAATAAAATGTAAGCAACTTAGGTATGCTCACTTCTTGTGCAAGTAGTTTTCATCCATGATTTTCAATGGACACTACATTTTTTGTATTCTGCATCGAGACATTTGCTAGTAATAGAATTGGTAATTACAAAAATAGACTAGGATTCCAAAACACAGTGATTATATTCCAGTACTTTGCAAGAAGCACCATTTGGATATGTTTTACTTGAGTTTTGTTCATGATTTTTAGTATTGCTGCTATTATTAATAATAATAGTAATAATAATATTATTGCTGATGGTATTATTGAAATAAGTCTTTAGATTTTAAAATTTCATTTTTATTGTATTGTTTATCATAATGAAGATGAGATTGTAAATTTCCTGGAATGTAGGATCTTAGTATGAAATTATTAGCACATTCATAACTTACTTCTTAAAGTGATATCTAATGATTATTTTTCAAAATGTGAAGTACATTGTCATGAGGTAAGATGTCAGTCCCTGATCACAAACAGCAGGAGCAATGATGATGATGATGATGATGACGACAACAACAAAACTTCTCTGAAATGAAGTGTGTGGAAAAACAATTCAAGCATTTTTAAAAAAAGTAATACATGAAAACCAAAATAACATAAACACCCCAAACGTCCACAATAATGCATTCAATAGTCAGGAATAGAATGAACTTCACTGAAACTTTCAATAAGAAGCAAATTGATTGTACCACTCTTTAAAGTTTGGTTAAAATACCATTCTTTGATGTTTTATTGACCAGTATTGTAAATACAAAGTGCCAGATGATCTGCAGCACGGCTGCAAGATGCCAGGAAAACTGTGTAAGAAATTATGAAGGGGTTCATATACTTTTTATGGCATATTATGGAAAATTAACTGCATAAATTACCGCGGTTCATAATTATAGTGCATATAAACCCAGTTCCCGGTAATTATGAGGTAGTAAAATATGAAGTAGTGATTTCCATACACAATTTAAGGTCAACGGAAAGTAGAAAAGGAACATGTAAGATAACCAAATTTCAAATAATAGAAAGAATATTATTGGTCCGATGTGTGAACCTTGAGGTACCCCAAATATGTAAACAGTGAGAATATGAGACTCATACTTTACCTTATGCATATAATTAGACATAACGAAAAAAAAGTAGTGAAAACCAGTGTGTTCTAATGTCTGTAACATATGCGAGTGACACTCATGTGTCCTCTGCATCTTGCATCTTCTCTTTCCTTCACCTTGGCCTTTATCTCTTTCTCTCTCCCCCCCCCCGTCTTTTTTTCCTCCTACCTTCACTGCATGAAGGTTCTTCAATTTGTTCCAATTGGAGTTTGCAGATTGTACAAATTTAATGTGTTCATGTGAATGTATTATTTCAGAATTAGGAAGAGACCTACCAGAGGTGTGTTCCGGAAGCACATTCGATACACTCGCAAATCCCTGAAGCCTGGAACTATTTGCATCTTGCTTGCTGGGATCCACAGGGGCAAGAGAGTTGTTCTCCTGAAAGTGTTAAAGACTGGCCTTCTACTTGTTAATGGTGAGAATATGTGATAGACGAATCGATAGAACTAATCCATATTGTTTTATTTATTTATTTAATCTATCAAACAGGCATTCGCCCAATATACATTACATTCAATATTTACTTAATATAAGTTAATTGTATTCGCATACATATTTTTTCCTTGCTAAATCTGAACAATATGATAGTGATGTAAAAAATATATCTATATCACATGTGTTTACTAGTCTACTCATACACCATATAGATGCATTATGTTCCAGATTTGATCTCGCAATTGGTATGTTAAAAGTTTTATCGTTATTTCTCATATTTCACATAGGTACATTAAAATTCAGTTTGGATAACAGTGCGGTACAATCAATATCATTGTTTATCAATTTATACAGAAAAATAAAATCATTGAATTTTCTATGAGAATGTAGTGAGCTAATGTTCAACAAGCTCGCAACATGAAAATAATTATGTGTGAACCTCGGTGATGGAAGCTGAAGTTTCCAAGCAATATAGTTAAAGAACCTATGTTGAGTTGATTCAACTTTTCTTGAATAAATGTCATAATGAGGCGACCAAACTGGAGAAGCATATAATAAAATTGGTCTCGCTAACAAATAATATAGAGTCTTTAAAATGGAAGGATTTTGGAATTCACTGGTCATTCTCATAACAAATCCAAGTAGTTGATTGGCTTTATTAACGACATAATTAATATGTTTATCAAATTTGAAAATAGGATCAAAAATAACTCCAAGATCGTAATATTCATATAGACTCGAGAATATGATTGTCAAGAGAAGAACGATAAACTGTTTGCGACCTACACCTGGAAAACCTCACTATTTTACATTTATCGATATTCAAGGATATTTATTGAAATTACATCATATCATAAGCGAGTTCAAACATTCTTGAAGCTCACAAGTCTTACAACAATTTTATTTCTCTGTAAATTTTAAAATCATTGGCAAAAAGTAAGAAATTACAATCGTTCTGTTCATATAACTTTGAATGTAAAATATAGTCCTTGCCAAAGTTTAGTTTTGAGAATTGAATTCACAAAATGGTTCCTTGTGAGGAAAGGTTGGTGTAGTTTTTCAATTAATATAATTTTTATTTAACTTTTTTCAGGTCCGTTCAGTATCAATGGCGTACCACTTCGTCGAGTGAGTCAAAACTTTGTTATTGCTACTCGTACTCGTCTGAAAATTGATGAAAAAAGTATTCCCAAACATTTGAATGATGACTACTTCAAGCGGATTCGTCCAAAGAAATCCAAGAAGGACGACAGTGACATTTTCACCACAAAGAAGGAGGTCAGTTGATATTGAATTCTGAAGGTTGTATAAAATTAAGACATACAGTTAGAGTGCTGATGATGGAAATGTTTAATTGATCATCTGTGATATCAATACATATTATTCGTCACTACCTCTGAAGCACTAATTAAGATAAAAGATGTTACGAGAAGGTTTTTATTCTGTAAAACTTTCTATTCAAAACCTGTAACTTGAAATCTAATAGTTGACTTTGTTACTAATCATAATTTTTTAGAAGGGGTTTTAAATGCACTAAAATGAGGTTCGAAATTGTCCTATGAATTTGTGCAGAGGTTTGTGTTCAAATTTGAGGGAATTTATGCAATGTACGAAATAGTTTGAAGAGCTTAGATTGAGTCATTTACCAAGTTAGAGCAAGAAATTTGAAATTTACTCTGTATTGTTTCTAACACTTCACTTCACTTTCTTCACTAGGGGTGAATTACATCAGTAACAATACACTTGTAATTTTCAACTGAAAATACAAAAATGACATTTGCACAGTCAATGGTGGTGGCTGGCACCTCAAACCCAAAATGTTGCCCTATTTTTTGTTTTTTTAAGTTGCAAGTGTTTTTTTTTTGTTTTTTTATTTTATTTTTTATTTTAATTTAAAATGTTTGATATTTAGTTGTCCTGTCAGATGCCTTGGCAGAAAAAAGTCTTCAAAATATGCCTGAGAATTCTTGTTTTTAGTCAATCACTTAGGCAGTACTATGTTCTGAAGTTATGTTAGGAGTGTTACAACTAATGAATATTTTGTTGTTTAATTGCATTGTACATTGTACATCTTACATAAGGTTATAATATTGCACTAACAGCCAAACTTGTACCAACAGTTCAGCCATCACTTGAAAACCAGTGATATCGTAACTTAAAATTTTGCAAGAATTATCTAATTTGGTTACAGTAGGGTACACGGTACACCTCTACAGAAACATGGCAGGGAAGAGGGAGAAAGGGAAGGGGAAGAGGGGTCTTCTCTAGCCCTCCCTCAAATTATGTTAAGTGCTCTGATAGAAATGAATGAAACTTACCTGTTAGTGATTTTTATAATGGTTTGATGGACGGTTTTATGACACATTTTCTTGCATCCATTCGACAGCCAAACACCCCGTTTGGCACAACACACAAAAAAAGCCACATTTATTCTCACCATTGTAGCACACACACTCAATACTCAAAAACACAAATCACAAAGAATCTGAAGAACACAAGAAACTTAATTGTACGACAGCAATGTAGCTAACCACTTCGACAGCTACCTGACACAGAAAATCATGTAGGCAAAAACCCTATTTACGTATCTCCACATACCATTTCGTAGTATAAGTTTCTACAATATACTAGGACAAAACCCAAAACTTTTGATGTCACGTTAGTGACCAATTATGAACCATTAAAATTATTTCAGAAGTGTATTTTTTTTACAATTTATTTAAATTGCTCACGCTTTGTTTTTTATATGTATGTACTAAGTTACACATATTGCTAACCACCCCTCCCCACAGAAATGTTCCCCATATAACAACCTTTGTCCCTTCCACCGTGGATTTCTCGTGGATTGGCTGAAGTTGTATAAAAAAAAATCATCAAAAATCAATCAAATTGTATCACATAAATTAAAAAAAAAAAAAAAAGACGACGACGACGGCTTGAACTAATTTTATTAAGGAAAAATCTACCTTCAGTATTGCACTTGTAGGAAGATGTGCCAAGAAATGTTTAAATTTGGCAATTTTTGAAATAGTTATTAAAATAGTACCTGAGCCATTATTATAAGCATATTTTACTCTATTCAAACATAGTTTAATAAACAAATTTGGAGACCATTTTGAGAAAATGTTGAATATGTTCTACAGGCTTAGAGTAAAGTATCCACAAAAATTAATAGCAGTTCCAAATTTGAGGGGATTGCAGTGCCACCAGTTCCCACAATCAGGAAATGCCAATTTTGAAAATCGTGGGTGTTGTGGCAATAGTGCTGTTCAGGATACACATTTTGTGAGAAACCACTTATTTAGCATCAAAGAAAATAGTTTTTCCAAAAAAGTGAAATCTGGCGACTCTATATGTTTGAGAAAGTTATGTCACATAGGCAGTATCAGTTACAACTAAACCAACTTTTCAGATTAAATTTTTTTTTCCAGTTATTTTGTAACAGTGTATTAGTAAGAATATTAAAAAAAAAACAGATTTAGTTCATTAAATATTATTATAGCTAATAGTGATACAGGTACAGTGAAATGCATGCCTTTAAAACATCTGGAACAAAATGTCCTTATTTTGCATGCTTCACATTAGATCATTATGATTCTATATCATGGTCAGCTGTTAATTAATAAAATTTGGTTCTACTATAGTAGTAAGTTGTAGCATCTAAGTAAAATAGGGAAGGTGATTTGGTATTCACTTTGATTATATTTTTTCAGAAATACGTTCCTTCTGAGCAGAGGAAAGCTGACCAGAAAGCAGTTGATGCAATTGTAGAAAATGCAATGAAGCCTGGTATGAGTCAACACACACATGGAGCACTTAGAAAGTACCTCAAGGCTACATTTGGACTAAAACGTAATCAGAAACCTCACTTTATGAAGTTCTAAAATATTTGTTGGTATTGAATGGAGTGTTTGTGGGGAAAATAAAAAAGTTCTGTAAAGTTGTTGGTTTTTTTCACCACCAATTTGTACATTCCAATTTCCTAGTGCCATCTAGAGGACTGTGTTGAATGTATGTGATCCTTTCACCCTTGTTTATCTGATAATACATTTACAGAAAGCTACATGCAACAAATGTCATTGTTACTCATTAGGTATGAGAACACTTCATCTTTGCTATTTATTGCTACCGTGACTGGAATGGAATGTGGTGATGAATCCACAGCCAATTTGGAAGAATCCCAAAATGCTTTGTGTAGGAATGTTGGAATAAAGGGAATTCTCAGTGTTCATGCAAATGGAAAATTTGAAGGTGGTAGTACTATTGTGAACTTAGGCTAGCTTTTTGTTAAATCCTAACAAAGAAATGTCTATGTTGCTAAACAGTTCAGAACATCTGAAATCCTTTTGAGTTCGAAATAAGTCTGTTGTGGTGTAGGGAACTTGATATATACTGAGGCTCCAATTACTGGAAAATAAATTGCGTTATTTGGGTGAACTATCTGCATTTTTAGTACTACATTTGAACTGAGGTAGTGAATTGTAAATATATGTATATTTCTGGAGTTTGCGTGGGAGAGTGATGTTCACATCACCAATAAATGCTCAGAAGACTTAGCATCATTAGAATTAGTAATACAACAATTTGCAATTTGTTGCTAAGAGCAATAGTGGGTGGTTTTAGTGTTTTACTTATAGTTTTACTATTGGCCTTGGAAAATGGTTATCACTGGACCACATTTTCTTAAATCTTGCCAAAATGTTGCTACATGCATTCATAATTCAATAGTGTGTATCTGAGTAAGGGTAAGAATCAGAGCTCAAGAAAATACGCACCGATTAGGTTTCTTATAGTATGTCACTTTTTTTAAAATGTTTGTAAATGGGAAATTCATCTGAAGATATCAATGTTTAAAATAAAACAGGCAATTATTGGCTGCAACAATTGGTAAGTAGGGTCATGGTACAACACTGGGCATTTTATCATTCGTTTATATTCATCATTAATAGATTTTATTACATCGAAGTGAATATTCTGTTAACAATTCTTGTCAAAACCCTCATTTCTTTCTGTATTCGGAATTGATCTTTTATATGGCATGGGTAGGAATTCCAGAATTAAGAAAACCTGTACAGAATACACTTCTTTTCGTAGCATGTCACACGCTGTAATTGACGTAAAAATAAATGATATAAAAAATAAAACTAATGCAGAATATTGGTAATAGATGCCAGTGACTTGTTAGTTTCCATTAGTTGCTATGTCTGCTGGGAGATAGCGTTACAAGTTCAACTTGTTGAAATTTACATTATGCTGCATTTTAGTCTTAAAAACAAAATCCTTTTGAGTTCGAAATAGTCAATTCTTCATTGTGCTTTAGGGAACTTGATCTTTACTGAAGCTGCAATTTCTATAAAATATATTAATATTTTAAGATAATGAATTTCAAGATTAATTGAAAGGCGGCAGTTTTAATGTGCAAAGCAGAATACCGAAGCACCGAAAGATGAGTTATTATAAGAATCCACGGCGAGTTGAAAGAGCACAAGTTACGAGGAGAAAAGCACGGAGTGTTTAGCACTGCACCGAAGCTGAGTAGTGGCAAGGAGGTGGTGTAGGGCGAACAGAGTGATGTTCTCGGAATAGGCTTAGAGCTTTTTTGGTCGTCGGCGCAAGCTCGACGCGTCTGTTGTTTCCGCACTTAATAACGCTATTTTCGTACTGTTAAGTTGTAAATTTTATACTAAACTGTGTGTTGTGCTACTGTGAATATGTTGGTGCGCGCTGGTGGAAGGGTCGAGCATGCTGGCGTTGTCGATCGTGACTGACCCGTGTGGCACAACGTGGATGCCTAGAGCCTCAGCTGGCATTTTCTTCTCTTGGCACGAATGTGAAAGAAGAAAATCGGATGTTTCGGTGTTTGAATTGTATTTTGGAATATTAATGTAGTTAGTGAATAATAATGAGTAAGTGCAGTTGCTGCACGTTTGACAGTATACGCTGCCGCTAATGTCAGGTGATTTACGTTAGACAATTACAAACGGGGGAAAATGCATTCGCAATCAGCCTTTGATGACCAACCTGACGAGGGACCCAGTAGATGTAGCACTATACTCTATTATACGTGGAAAGTCTGCACGTGTCTTTTTTCTCACGTATTACTTGTGTCAATGGTTGTCACATATTGTATCATGGGTGCCTTCATGTTTCGTCATTTGGAAGCTGAAAATGAAATAAAGGTAAGTTGAAATATATGGTAGATTAAAGTTTTGAACCGTTCGCTTGTAAATTAGAACCTTGCGCTTGTTGTTATGAACTGTCTCGAAACAGATTTGATGAATTGCTTTTCTTGACCAATGAAGGGGAATAGAGTACAAATTCTTTACGTTTACAAATGTTCTCATTGTATGCTAACCCGATGCTGTCAAAAATATTGGTAATATTTTTAGTGTTTAAAATGTCGATATTCTTATTTATGGTTATAAAATGTGCATGGTCTTAATGCACTAACCTGGTATTCTAACAGTTTGCACGCTTTTAATAACAAGCCTACAACTTAAATAACAAACTGTAGCACCACTGTGCTACAGAATGGCACAGACTTTCCCATATTAGTTTTCTATTTCCTATGGTCTCGGCTAGCTATTCGAACTTGCCACATACTCTAACCTGCTGCTATCAATTTTCAGCAATTTTCGGCAATTTTCTTTGAAACCTTTGGAGCCCTTTTTAAGAAAATGGCCCTTAAGCGCTACAGTAAATTCGAAATTTGAAGCACTTTTTCACAGAAAAATTTCGAGTTTCGAAAAACTTCATTTGAAGCATATTAAATCACAAATGCAAAAGTGTTTACAAATTGCTGGAAATTTACCGTGTATTTTTGTAAATGTACTCCTAAATGGATTTTACATCATATTAAAGAGTGCAATTAGCTCTATCCTTGCGAAAAGTTTGAAGAAAAAATTTGTAGCAGTTTTTGAGAAAATGGCGTTTGGGCGTTTCTGAAAATGCGGAATCAAGAGCTAGTTTTCACAGAAAACGGTTATGTTTTCGAGAAGCTTTATTTGACATTATTTAAAGCACATGTTCTTAAAAGTATAATAATGTGAACAAATTGCCGTTAGTGTAAATATTATCGACGTGAGAGACAAGTAAAAAAATAAATTTTTATAATTTTTGAAAAAACAAAAGAATAGAGCTGTATGGAGTTTGTCATCTTATAGAGTGCATTTACCACAATCCCTATCAAAAATTTAAAGAAAAAATGTGGAGAAAACTGTTTTAGAGAAAATCTTGTTTTTGGAATTCTTTAAAACTGCAAATATTGCTCGCAATTTTGCGCGAAAACTACTAAAATCTTCAAAAGTGTGTACTTGACCTTAATAAAAGAACTAATTATGGAAACAAATTTCATACCAAGGAAAAATCTCTATTTTCAATTTTCTAGTAGGAAGGCACCAAACAATTCATACATTTGAAAAATTCAGTTAATCGTTAAAATCGGACTTTTGCCACTTTTACCACTTTTACAAAGTGTATGTTACTACATTCTTACCAGAAAATTAAAGAAAAAATTTGGAGCCGTTTTTGAGAGAAGTTTGAAAATGTCCAGGAGACTTCATGTAAAGTACTCCCAAATTTTTAGGAATGTTTTACAAAATCTCAAAGCTTTGACTTGAGCCAGATAGACAGGGGTTTCTTCAATTCGGAAAAAATCCTACGCTTGGTTTAGGAGCTTGTACTAGTAGTGTTCACAGACAGACGGGCTGACGGACGTAAAAAAAAAAAAAAAAAAAAAAACCTTTATTTTTCGGTATCTGGGGACTCCAAAACGCGTATTTATGTTGAAATCTGGAAATCGATTTTCTGCAGAATTACATAACTTTTCTAATGTAATTATATACATAAATATATTACATTATATACATAAATATACTACGCATATTACTCCATATATACGTACGTATAGGTACGGGAAAGTAAAATCCTGCTACGAATTGCCGATGTTGACCTCGGCGATAGATATCATTCTTGGTTTCGTTTCTATCAAAACTCCAATATTCGATTTAGTTTGGATAATAAAAATATTATTGGCAAGAATTTTTTGCAATTCATCCATTCAGAGAGCTTGACGTTATTTCTTTCTTCAAGTGCTATAAAATTTAGCAATTTATTTGATACATTTTGTTTAATTTTCAATTTAATTAAAGTTTATTATTTATAACTTTCTCATTACCTATTTTCACTTTGTTTAACATAAATACAATCTCTTGAATTGACATTTAAAGTATATTTTCTTGAATTCCGAAATCCCCACAAATTCACATTCAGTTGGAGTATGTGTGATTAAGCACAAGGAGACGCACCCAGAACCTCTTTCTGAATAGGAGCCTCAAATTATTTTGTAACATTTTTTACGTTCAAAATGAGTAAAATAGTTTAATAATGTTTTAAATTTCGAATGGTTTAGTTACGATATTATTACTTTTGATTACATATGTTCAGTTATTATGAAGGAGGACAATATTATGAGGGGGCTCCATGGCTAGGGTCTCTTTTAATTATTAATCTGGCCTTGGCTCAGAGGTTGTGGAAGGTATGTATTAGCGGTGGCCCATGAATCCTTGTACTCTGTAATTCTCCACCGCGTTGATTTTTACATACCTAACTCTAAATAATCCACAGCACTCGAACGTTGAAGACAATTCGACAAGTCTTTGACCACCAAAATCTTTGGTAGGTTCTGAATGCCAGAAGGGTGGGAAGAAACTCGCGTGAACAGTAACGATGTAAACAAAACTCCTTCCCGGGAAGTCGAATAATAGTTGGCATAAGCAAAAACAAGTAAAGGCAAGCGTACAAATATGCCGTTCAGCAACGCCGGAGATCGGGCCAACGTCACCCAAATTTTAGGCCTCGTAACACTATTGAAGAACATGAAAATTAACTTTGAAATGTACTGTAATTTTTGCAAAATATAATATTTCACGTTTCTCTGTATCGAACGAGTAACAAACGTTAAAAATATCGGGAACCCCTGTCCAGCGAGGGCCCTAATTATGTGCTTTGCCCGCGCATTAATCAATCCCTGAGGATAATGCGCGTTGTTTTGCGGCGCAGGTGAAGAAAAACATCAGCAAGATTCGCAATAACGTGACGTCCGACCTGTGGTGGCTGACGGAAAGCAGCAAGGTGCTGGTGGAGGAGAACTGGACGCTGCAGGTGGAGATGCGGCTGGCCGACTTCGAGAAGGAGCTGGTGCGCTGCATGAAGTCGGACGGATGGGACGGCAGCGAGGACGTGGGCGCCGTCCAGTGGACGCTGTCCGGCGCTCTCTTTTACTCCATCATCGTCATCACGACTATCGGTGAGAAGCGGCGTGGTTGGAGCTCGGGGGCGGGTCAGGGGGAGGGAGGCATTAAGGTTATGCGCCCCTCCCCACAAACAGGCCTCAAGTTTTCCTTTGTAATCTTCCTTTATTTGGCAGAGGTGATTTAAATATTTATGTTAGAATTATGTATGTATTTGAAAAGTAATATTATATAGTATCATATATACACTACGAAACTAATATTCAATATAATAACCAATGTTTAAGATTATTTAACAGAAATATTTGATGGCTCCCCTCCAAAATGATCGTCTGGATCCGCCCCTAAGATGAACTAGGATACCTGGCTGGAATTGGAATGACCTCTCTAATAAGATATTTAAGAGACTAGCGTATGTACCCAAAGAAAACGTGGGAGAGCGATAATTGAAAATCAGTTTGCCCGCCTCACTAGAAAAATACACGATTTCGATTCTATTATTATCATTTCTCCGCTTGATCTCAAAAATTGTGTGTCATCATGCCATGGCGTTCTGGTGTTCTTGGGGCAGCTTGTGAAAACTAAAAGGATTCCGGACGTTAGTGACCATCTTTTACTTAATATAAAATTTCGTTTACAGCGAATCTGTTCATCCGATTGCTACGTTTGATATGGCGTTTGATTCAGGATGCAACTCGCAGACTGTATTTGACCACTTGTTTTCTGATGTAAAAAATGATGAGTTTTCCAAAAGATTGTCTTGGTGCAGGAATGTAGTGATGCACAGCCACCCCACAGACATTTTTACAACTATTGCTTTCAAATCTCACGCCACTTTCTCCGGACGCAGAGCCTGCAACCTCTAGTAAGCTATTCGTTGTTGCCTTACCCGCGACCTTGACACGCTTGCGTTAAGCCGTCCAGCCTTCCAGGTGAATTTTGTTTTTTTTTTCGTCTGTCGTGCTTTCAAATCCGCATTCAAGAATGAGTGTCACCGTTAAACACATGGGTACGGTTAGGTAAAGCGTCGATCTATATTATCGATAATATAGATTTATTAGTTTCATTTACTTTTGTATCAATTTTTATATACCCAATGTGTTTATGATTTCTAAGGAGAACTTATAAAATATTGTTTGCTTTGATAGCAATCTGAAATTTCAGGATGTTAACTGCAATGGAAATGAATAGATTAACATTACATTTTTATTTATAAACATAAACAAATTTAGATTAAGCTAACATTTACAGAATGTATGACTAGTAATATTATTACATGAACTAATTATCAATAAATTATAATCTAGAAATGTAGATTCTTACGTGTTTTGAGAAATATATAAGCGATTTAAAAAATAAATTATTTAAAAACAAAACAAAAAAACAATTTCAACTGTAAATACCAGTAGCTTTAGAACTTTTACGTTTCACACACGATTTTTTTGTGTGAAAATTTAGATTTTGTGTAATATTTTTGGTGGATACACTCAAAAATCGAAGATTACATGTTTTGGGAATTTAGGTTTGAAAAATAATACTCTTTTGGATTCGAGAGTAAAAATATCGGTATAAAATGTAAATGATGTGAGTCTCAGTGCAAAAAGACTTTTCTTTGAACTAGTTACTAATAGGAAAATTGTTTTTTTAATATTAAAATGGATTTTCACGTGATATTTCAATTTTTTCTAAAGTTTAAAATGCTCAGACATTTTACTAGTTTTGGATATAAATAAAACCAAGGTTTAATGTCATACATATGCACTGAATATAATGCTACTAGCTTTTATAAAATCACAGTGAACAAGACAAACAAATGAGCAATCGGATGGGGTCATGTTTTTTCGGCTGATTGCACGTGGCAATTACCCATAAACAATACAAACGCCAACTATCGTCTTTTGCGTTCCAACAATCTTTCGTAGATTAACAGTGGCTTGTTTATTATAAGATTGACGTTGGCAGTTGTGTATTTCCAGTGTCACGTGGCGCAGGCGAAGTGCTGGCGCCCAGATGGCAGCACCGACAGTTAGCTCCGCGCCGGCGCGGGTCGGCGGCGGGTTCGTGGGCGTGCGCGTGTTGCAGTGTCCGCAGCCACACGGCCTGAATTGCTGCAGGATGTGTGACTCGGGTGCTTGGCTGCGGCCCCTTGCCCGGTTTGGTCGGGATGTTACCGCAGACGAGGGCGCGCTCGAGCGTCTAACTGATTCCGAGGTTCCAGCACCTCGCGTGTGTTTCCGGCCGTCAAACGCCACCCGGTGGCGGCCTTTGGGTCGTGTTGCAGCAGACACGCAAAATGTGCGTGGACTGTCGTAATTCGTTCTAGAAGTACTTAATCTGCTTTAGGGCTGCTTTAATCCGTTTTTCGTTTCTAACAGGCGACTTTTCTCTAGTATAACCAAATCTTTTTCCGCCTTTTCGCTTGGTTCCTGGAGCGCACCCCCTCTTAGCAAACCTCCCCATTCTTCTGCATCAAGCACCCAGCACTCGATCAAGGGTATCACAATAAAAAAGTAGAGAAAGAAATGGAAAAAATAGGAATTTGAGAATGTCCTTGGTCATGTATTCGTTCATTTTCGATACACACGCTCCCACATACACTCATCCACACACCCACTCTCGTATGCACACACTCACAAACGCACAATGTTCTAAAATAAGCACTTTTTCTCATTCGACTTACTCAAATTCATGACACAGCAGGTATAGAGGTATGAGCCTATATCCACTTTGATACATAATTACAAGGACATTTTACAAAAACAGCTGGTCCCTTAATATTGTACGTTTTAGGTTCCATGTATAAAATTAAGATTTTGTATAGATATAGGATATAAATAATAGTTGGTTTTATCCTGGTCACTTGTTGTCAGATTTGTCCCTAAAATTTGTAATTGAACGAAAACGTGGAGGATATACCTCTCGAGAAGAGCTAGTTTTTAGACTCGCAAACATATTACCGTTACAACTAGTACAAGTAATAACATTAATGAACCAAACTCAGTGACGTAGAAGTTGAATTATTCTGAGGAGCGAGACGTTTTGTGAGACTCTGATATCAGTGAATGTGTTCGTTTTAAAAGCGTATATTCGTGAAAAATTCCAAAATGACAGAAACTTAAAATTTACATTCGTAAAATAAGTGATGGTACGAGTATATTTAATTATATTTTTTAATTAGTTTAATTTTTGTAATTTCAACTATATTTTTGTAATTTAATTACCTGTTGTTTCGTGATCATTATTTATAAATTCAATTTAGAAATTTGAAAATATGAAAGGTGAACAGAAAATTTTTATCTCGTAAAGGATGGAAACTCAAGCTAGTATATTATTTGTATGCGATTTCTGGGTTAATGAAATCGCTGTATTGTTATGAATTTCGATGGAGTCTACAAATTTTTATGAATTCACAAGAATACAAATGCTTTTAGGAATTTATAGGACTTTCCGGGTAATTAAAAACATAAATTAAATTTAGGAAGCTAATAGATGTCTCAATATAAGCATGTATCAATGTAATAAATATCAAATCAAACAAAAATTGTGTTTTTCGATAAAAGTTTGAATGACCATCGTGACTCAGTATTATCCTAAAACTCATTATTAATAAATTGTTTGTTTTAGAGAGACGACGTGTAATATGCTAGTTCAATCTTCTTGTTTCAACATTATATGACTGAAAAATTGAAGCCTATCGTCTCAAAGGTCTCTCGTATACGAGTCTCATACATCGGAAGAGCCGCTCTCATTTCTTAAATTGTTTGTTTCCTTTGGTCAGAAGACTGTTTCGGAACTGTCTCTGAGCATCTGGTGAGGTCTTTGGGGAACTTCTCGAAGGGGTCTGCTGCCGTATACTCCCTTCCCGAGTCGCGAATAGCTACTCTGTTGTTTATCTGTCATTGCAATTAAGAGGCCGTACACTTTTTGGAGACCTTCCGGAATCGTTAAACCATGAAATAGTGTCCCAGCTTTTCATACAGCAAGGAATGAGGAGATGAGAGAAAGGATATTTTCACATTCTAGATGTATATATTGATGGTTTATTACAAGTTACAGCATACATTTTACTTATACACGAAAATGTTTACATTTGCCAGTCTTAAAACTAACGGAAGTTTGCATTCACTTGACTAGGGCACATGTAAAACAGGAAAGATAAATAAACAGGACATTTCATTGCTTACTTTTTAAGAGCGGTTTCAACAGTGTCAAGGTTTGTAAGGCACACGCATCACAGCTGGTCTAGACCAGAGAAGAAAGCAGGTTACGCAACAAAAACTTTTAAACGGAAAATGCTCGCGGTGTGCTAGAGCAACGGTGCTCTACCGATTATTCCCATGGGAGTTCGCGACAATAATGTTGTAATGGGAAAATTTTACAACTTAATCATGTTAATTTTTTTCAAACTAAATTAAAGCTTTAGCCAAGAATTAGAAGGTTGACATACAATTTAATCCAGTTTTATGCTTAAGAGGCTGAATAGTTGTTTATTGTATTAATTTTGTATTGATTTTTGTAAGTCATCACTTTTTTAAGGTTTTTTGTGAGATCAAGCGAAGGGATTGTTCTTTATGTTTAAATTTAAATGAAACAGAAGTCCCCTGTTGCTCGTACTTGCTATCTTTACAAAGATAATATTCACTATACACATTTTCTGTAGGTTTTATGACTGTTAACCATCAACGAAGTAAAAAATATTATAATATTGCATTATTGTTTGGTTAAAAAATAAGAGTATTAAATTAATTGATTTCACTACTTTGCTATTTAGCAAAAGTTCATTACGTCCATCTTCGAAAAAATCTACGTGTACTCCTCTCTCTTGTTTTATACGACTTGCACGTTTTAATGTTGTTTCACAGTGAGCAGCGCTAATGTTTTCAGTTCGAGAGCAGAGAATCGAGGTTTTTATTTACACTTAACCGATGCGAACGTCATTCGACGTGTAGTTTACAAGTATGCTAATGTGCTTTCATTTAATTACTTAAATACACGACGCAAAACGAATATATTAAAATAGGGAAACTATAAATACAAGGCCCCGCATGAATATGGAAGCTGGCCGCGGTGGCGCGACGGAATGAAATTAACACTCTTGATGACAGTTGACAGACACGACCCGCCGCCGGTTGGCGAGATGGCGACCTCCCTCCTGTCAGCTCCTGTTTCCCTAGCCCTTTCCGAAATTCCACTTTCGACATGACCGGTATTTGTTAGAAAATGTGCGCTTGTATTCATTCAGTTGATGTAAACCAAATTTTGTATTGAAAATAATATTGAAATTCAATGCTTGGAACTAGGTTTATGTGATTATATAATTAATTAATAAAAGAATTGGTATAAAGGAAAACTTTTTGTGAATGACAAATGATTTTGAGGTTCGCACCCTGTGGTAAAACGTATTTATGAAGGTGAATAATTGAATTGGTTACGCAATTTCTTTATTTATTCTTCTTATTAAATTATTTTCTCAAGTTGAAAGTCATATTTTAAATACGAAGTCTAATTCTTTTGAAGCGATTTAAATCAAGTCCGTAATTCTTCTACTCCTTCTTATTATCATTATTGAATTAATTCTAGTTTTACATTTCATTATATCACACAAAATGTGTCACCGATTTTCCACGTATTGCTAGAATTTTTGAGTACTTCATTTTTATATTAGTTTTCACCGCATATATTGTGAACTGTTGAATAGCAGCATAAAATGTTAATTGCACATTGCGACTAGACGCACACTTACAATCTGTAAAATGTCAGGTGGTCTTTAACTTTTAATGGAACCTGAACTTCTTGCTGTACCTAAACTCTTATATTTTCTTTTTTCAGTGTTGTCAATAAGCGAGTTAATATTTCTTGTGACGTATTGTGATTAGTGTTAAAATAAATACATGTATACAAACATGAGAAATGACGAAATTTGTTCTCTAGGAACGGTGGACCAGTCTTTCAATAAACATAATGGCTTTGATAAATATGTGTTTCTAGAATTGAAAAGAATGATTTCACGAACTAATTATTTACATGTGAATATAATAACCTATCAATAAAACCGAATAGGTAGTTCTTTATAAAATTGTAAGTTCGCACTACGGAGTCTGTTTATTGTGTCCTTACCACGTTGCTAGTAGGACTGTTGAGAACAAGAATTTTTCTAGTAGTTAGAATTCGTTCCAGAATTCATAACTGGCTTTGGTGTATAAAATAATCGTATCTCTTTTACTTTTGTATTAATTCTACCTGCTTCATTAGAACCGCTGATAAGGAAGTGGGGGCGTAGTTCCGTAGGATCTATCTCTGACATGGGCTATTTTTTCACACTCAACTGAATAAAAACGGTTGGCATCAAACATTTCCAAGAGCAGCTATTCTGAATAGAGAACATGGACATGCTCTGCGCCTTTTGAAGATATTTGAGCAAATTGAGTTGACCCGGAACATTGTTTACCAACCGTGACAATAAGTATCAAAGCTGGATAAACAAACAAGACATTTTATCTAATCAGCTTGGGATATTCAGCGTAGAATTTGTTTGTGTGGTTTTACAGAGTTTGAAATATAATGCTTGTCTTCGATTTCTAGGCATCCAGAGATTACCAAGAACACAAACTTGGAGACGCGTGAGTTAGTTTGATGTAGTCTTGGAGGTGTTAACGGTGGGAAAGTAATCTTATATTATCCCCAGGCATGAGACAACAAATGCAACTGTTCTAACAGAAAAAACACTCTGTCTGCTTCAGGCTCATGAAGACTTCTGTTCTAATGCTAAACGCACTTCACAGACACTCCGTCAGGTGCGAGTAGTCTGTAGAACCGTTAATCTTAGTGTTGCTTTTGGTTGATAGTTTTCAATTCTGTACGACTCCTACTTTAGCAGGACTGCTATGTGTATGTGTGTATTATAGGAGGGAAATGTATTCGACCTTCGGAGCGTCAAATTCTATAGGACTCTATCGACCCTTCACGCAACGTGAATCGTGGTGGCCTGGTCGACCACACAGTCCTTCCGCACCACTTCACGCGACGTGAA